TAGTGACCTCGAGAAGGTACTGATGGGGTTGGTACATAGCATCTACTAGTATATTACAATATAATCAGATACGGGTTGATTGTTCTATTGGTACATAGCTGTTGCCCCTTATGTTATGAGAGTAAATGCATTTAGAATGTCTCATTATCACAAGGGAGAGACACATAACATATTTATATTAATGGGGGCCCCCAAAATGCCTGCTCTTAGGGAACTTTATTTCTAAAGGCAGCGAGAAATAAACTCACTCACCGTTGCTTGTCATTTAATGTTATGCCAATGTCGCTGAATCATTCTTACATAAAAAAATGGCGCGCTTTTATGATGACAAAAAAAACAAGCCACGGCCAGACCGAGGCAATATTAAAAGTTTAAAAATTGAGACCACAACCCAAAACACAAATGACATTTTATTGAAAACTCAGCGCTTAAAGTCACAATAGAGAGGGTTGGCGTGTTTATTGCAAACAAAATCCGGGCTGCCGAAACATAACAAACCTGTTCGGCATTGTAAAGAAGCACCCGTTAGACCTGTTTCAAACACGAGCGCTATTTTAAGAGCTAACATACAAATACGGGTAGTGTCCTTTGAGTAACAACGCTACCCTCTTAAAATGAGATCACCGGGTCATGTGCTATTGATTCACATGAGCCATCTTACGCGAGAATTTGAGAATTATGTCTTTTGATGTTTGATAAGGGGTGAATAATGTTTGGTGATGTTTGAGGCGGATTCGAATACAGTGAATAGTTTGATACAAGTACGCGACAGATACTTGAATTCTACTTTCAACACAGTGCTACTTGGCTGGCCCATGAAGGTGCTTCTGTGCCCTTTGTATGGTACATCATACAGGTTCATATAACAAACATCTGATGTGTCAAATAAGTTCGTTGCATATTAATCTTGTATTACTGGAATACTGATGAGTGAGCGTTAAACAACAAACAAATCATTAATATATTTTTACACGTGGGTCATAATGACGCATAGACTGGAAGTGGTCACTTATTCCAAAATAAGTGAGTGAGTGAGTGTGGTTTTACGCCGCTTTCAGCAATATTCCAGCAATATCACGGCGGGGGACACCAGAAATGGGCTTCACACATTGTACCCATGTCGGGAATCGAACCCGGGTCTTCGGCGTGACGAGCTAACGCTTTAACCACTAGGCTACCCGACCACCCATATTCCAAAATAAATTAACAAACATACGAGATATATTTGATGGCACACAAACTGTGTGTTTCGAATGGCCTAAAAAACAGTAAGCAAAAAAATCAAATTTAATTTTGTTTATTTGTTGCCAAAGTCCCTGTCCTGTTTGTTACGTGACGTTTGTTAACAAAGTAGAGACTCGACAAGTCTAACATTTGGGTACTGGGTACTGGGTACTGGGTACTGGGTACTGGGAATTAGTTGTAGACTTCTTTCAATCTGTGCATGGGCGGATTTTTAAAAGGGTGGGGGGTGGGGGGTGCACAATTAGGATATATTTATTGTCTTTGGTGGTAATTTATACAGAAATAAAGATTTTATTCGAGATATAAAAAAGGGGGGTGGGGTGCGCCCCCCCCCCCCCCCTTCCCTCTGTATCCGCCCATGCTTTGTATACATGTCTTTGAACCAGGGTCTTCGGCGTGACGAGCGAACACTTTAACCACTACCTACCCGACCGCCCCTGTGAAGTTAGAAGAGTGAAAGTATACTAGAATACCGCCTCGCGATGCGATAGCGTACTGATAAATATCACGTTTTGCATGGAATGTGCATGCAGACAACTGTCCTTTAAATGTAATGTCCACAATGCATTTATTGGGATAGAAATATACACCACGTGATCATATGGCGATCTCTCATTGGACAAAATCCTCCAGCAGTGGCGACTGCCGGAACTGCACGTATTTAAGCCTTCTCGTTATTTAGCCCGCTTAATAACGAAAACATATACCGGATATTCTTCAACATGTGTTTTAGCACACTTCTAATTCGCCAATTCCCATTAATATTGCATATAAGCACTGTTAGAGGTTTCAGTATTTACAGAGCACATTGCAGGTGATATTCTGGATATTTAGTGTGGCATTTTAAAAGCATATGACAAAGACGCATAACTGCGATAATGGTTTGTTATTACCATTTTGACAGGTGTCATTTCAATTTTGAACATTTCTGTCTCAATGCTTTCAAGCTGAAAATGAAAATCATGTCTTATGTTAAAGTGTTGCTCTCATTCCATTTGTGAGTATTGTTTCATTACACATGTGATTCTGATTTTTCTCATCATGTTTTTGTCCTTTTCCGTTTTTAAGCCCTGGGCTTAAATTTGGATGAAATTTTACTCAACTAAAACAGGAATAATCCGTAATAAAGCCCTGGGCTTAAAAAACGTGCAGTCCCGGTACAAAATGTGTTGTCTGGTGTAGTTTCAATTCGTTTTTTATTTCAAACTGCTAATACTATAATACATATCTGAGACACGTAACTATTAAGATTTCATGATAAATAAGCTCGTGGTTTGTTTTCAGCAAAGTCAAAAATATTTTGTACAAACATATTACTTATGTCTCTAAAACCACCGACCTATATTACTTACATACGCCCATACGCGCGCTATAACGGCAGGGTTGTTGTTTTGGGGCGGAGAGTTCGAAGGGATTATACGGGCGCTTTCCGGGAAACTTTACAGACAGACAGACAGACAGACAGACAGACAGACAATAGTTTATTAACGTCTCACTCCTGTACATACATAAAACAGCTTTGTACTACTTGACATAGATAAAATGTACAGAACCATTCAATAGAATTATGAGCGACGAATTATCACAGAATTTATACATAAATGATATAAAGATGATACAGTAAAAAGTTATCCATATAAAAGATGTTTTCTACGATTAAGAATTAAAAAGCAGACTTTGGCAAGTATAAAACACACACTGGAGGTATATCTAAAACATTATAAGATTTAGCAATACATTCATTAAAAAGAGTTGCCCTGATATCATCATATAATACGCAGTGAAACAAAACATGGACCTCGTCTTCTACGCTGTCATTACAGTGAAAACATTTTCTGTTGTTGACAGGTACACCTTCGTATCGACCGATTTCCACTCGAATAGGAGCCACGCCACATCTAAACTTGGCTAGTGCCGATCTATAGGTTCTGGGCATCTTATTTGAAACATAGTATTCTGTCCCATATACTTGTTTGTAACATCGATACATTCTCAATTTATTAAGCCCATTTCGCCCCTCTTCCTTTCTTAACATATCACTCCAACGGGTAACATATTCATTTTTACACCATTGTTCCCAAACAGAAAATTTATCAATAAAACCTGTAGCGTTTACATGGTTGGTTGGTTTGTTGTTTAACGCCGCATTCAGCAATATTCCAGCTATATGACGCCTGTAAATAATCGAGTCTGGACCAGACAATCCAGTGATCGATATCATGAGCATCGATCCACGCAATTGGGATCTATGACATGCATCAACCAAGTCAGCGAGCCTGACCACCCGGTCCCGTTAGTCGCCTTTTACGACAAGCATAGTCGCCTTTTACGACAAGCATGGGTTGCTGAAGACCTATTCTACCCCGGCTCTTCACGGGTCTTTTACATGCACAATCGAGAATATTAAATTGTTTGTACCTGAGCATAAAAGTTTCATTTAAGAATAAAACCCTGTTGAAATTACAGGTAGGAATATGCCCCCAGTGCCTCATACTCGTCCTGTGAGACGACTAGAATGGGAATCGGGTGGTCAGTTCTGTAAGTTGTTGATTGCATGTCAAAGTTTCCAGATAGAGTGGATCGCTGTTCATGTTTTCAATCACTGGTTTTGCCTGATGCAGCTAGGCTTGATTATTTACAAGTGGCGTAGCTACCATGTAGCACAAAAAGCAAGTACTTACACTTTGAATTGGTTATTGGTTACAAAAATAAAATAAAATAATGATTTAAAAATACTTTGGTGTGTTCTTGTTTCAGGTCGTTTGTTATAGTTACACAGTCTTTGGTTAATTTCGGGGCACGGGTAGCCCAGTCGTCTGAGGCGCCGCGATTTGCTCTGCAGAGTTGCGTCCCTTGGGGAGACCAGAAACCTATGATTGTGGGTTCGAATCCTGGTTCGCCCCGATTTCTAGGTTTGTCAGTACCCGTGCTCGTGGGTTTCACCGAAGTGATAAACGTCTGAGACCTGCATCACTTCGGGCTTTCCTCCCACATTAAGCTGACACGCCGCGATATAACTGGAATACTGTTAAAAGCGGCGTTAAACCCAACTCACACACTCACTGTGGTTAATTTTCAGGTTGACCAGCCCACCAGTGTCAAAATTGTCGTTGATAAGCTGGTTCGACGTGTTTGATAAGCGTTATGAATGTTTAAGAAAAAATGCGTACGGCAATATTATTGCTTACATTTTAATTACCCCTAGCTACGCTCCTGTTTCTACAGGCCGCCGTGAAGTAGCTGTAATACTGATGACCGCGAAGTCAACGACATCCACTCGCTCATCAACCAATTCCTTCAGGCAAACCACTTTTATGAGATGCGCAACGCGCCTTTTGATTGACCTCTGAAAATGAACATAATTTTTAATTAAATCAAATAATGTATATTCAACAAGGCAATGACCTTCTGTACTATGATTCCGAAATAAATACATAAAGGATATAAAATGGTGGTTGTCAAATACCCAGTTTATCACCGAGTGGCGTGGATTATATTCAATATTAATTTTAACGAGTAGCCACTATCTCGTGAGTTTCGTAATGTGATACACGTCTCAGATTTGCATCGGGCTTTCCAACTACTTTCCTACTCTCAAATTACCGTGCACTACTTTTCAAGATTCGAGTTCATATTAATGGGTGTACAAGAAGCAAATTAAGGTTGGTAAAAAGTATAGCGCAGACATTGATTTTAAGTACGCTTACTTTAATTGTAGTCGAAATGCTATAGAGTTACTCCCCTTGGGGCACCTGTCAAAATGTAAACTTCCGGTCACTCTTTGCTCTGTCTCACTTACACAAGGCGGTGACTTTTAATCTGAGACTGACAGAACTCGCGGTGACCTAGCGTCCTGGACTTGATGTAGTAGTTGTCCGTTATAACCAGCTAGTCATTACTGACATGTCTCCCTCGTGACAACAGATAGGTATGTTGTTTCTTTTCATATCCTTTAATAACAAATTTAGTCAAGTTACTTTGTGTCACTCTGTGACAGACTGTGTGGGACACACCCCCTGTGATGTTGTAGATAGACCAAAGAGGCGGTGTTCTGTTTGACAGTGTTCCATATCGGGTGCATATCCATTCACCTGTCTCACACATTTCTAATCAAATGCGGATCGTGTCACATTACATCGCACAAATAAATTCTGCATGACGATTTTTTTGCTTACATATGATATATTGACTTACAGTTGATATGGTTTGGTTCACATTAGTACAGCTGTTTATTGTCAGATGTTGCAAACAATGTGAGGCTGTTTAAACTGACATGATATTTACCAAATCTTTGACAGGCATACAGAAGTTGTATGCAGAAGAGTGTGCATGTTGTTTTTTGCCAGCCAACAATATTTTATCTATATCTTTGGCAGCTTGGAATTGAATCTGTCCCAGACACACCAAAGGAATAATTACTGTAATGAGCAAAAACTTACCATTTCAACGTCAAGGTCTGTGTGATCTAACATATTTATGCCATGGCTCACAACTTATTACAAAAGCATTTAAGCACCTAAATGTTTAAACAACATGTTTTGATTACCATAATAAAGTCTATGCTTACCTGCCAGAAGAGTTTAGTGTTGCCTGAATGTGTGCACTGAGGCTTTCACACATTCACTTCGCCCTTCCCGACTATGAAATGCATGTTCTGACAAAGAAGTTACCAAATCACACATATATTCTATGTATAGAAATGTAGAATAAGATACTGAAGAATCACAAATGTAATGTACCCCTTCACCATTGTCAATAATTGATTTACTAATAATGTTGATATTAGTAAATATTTAATTGTTACTTCCACAAAATATGTTCAGTATATATGGCACAAGACTGCATTTGTTTGCCTTTAGTTAAATGCAGACTCTGCAGGTTCGAATCCCACTTGCAACGTTTTTCAGCAGATTGTTATGTCAGGTGACAGTATCATCAAAGTCAGTGTCAGAAAAAAGGAAATTTAGTAATTTCCAATTTGTGTTTAACGATCAATCTCTGTTTATTAAAGGAAGGAGCTGTGGTTCTATTATCATGATTATTGGATAATTTTTATTGTTTCATAAGAGTCCTACAACTACTATTGGTCCAGTGTAATTCGAGTTACAAGAAATAGTGCAGATTTCACGTTGTCATATACACTCCCTGCACCATCCACCTTGAAACTTGAGACTACCACAGGTTGTGTTGCACAACAGGTGTAGGTTGACCAGGACAAGTACCAGCATGTGCTGCACGTGATGCAGACACAAGAAACATGCTTAACCCAGATCATCTTCCCAAGGCAAGGTGGCCGCATCATACCAAAAGATGTTAAAAGATGGTACTTGTTGTTACCCTGTCTGGCGCTCGGCATTATGGGGCTAAAACTTTGTGTTCTCCAGGTCTACATAATTTTGTGTTCTCCAGGTCTACAGGATTTTGTGTTCTCCAGGTCTACATGATTTTGTGTTCTCCAGCTCTACAGGATTTTGTGTTCTCCAGCTCTACATGATTTTGTGTTCTCCAGGTCTACATGATTTTGTGTTCTCCAGCTCTACAGGATTTTGTGTTCTCCAGCTCTACATGATTTTGTGTTCTCCAGGTCTACATGATTTTGTGTTCTCCAGGTCTACAGGATTTTGTGTTCTCCAGGTCTACAGGATTTTGTGTTCTCCAGGTCTACATGATTTTGTGTTCTCCAGGTCTACATGATTTTGTGTTCTCCAGGTCTACAGGATTTTGTGTTCTCCAGGTCTACAGGATTTTGTGTTCTCCAGCTCTACAGGATTTTGTGTTCTCCAGCTCTACATGATTTTGTGTTCTCCAGGTCTACATGATTTTGTGTTCTCCAGGTCTACATGATTTTGTGTTCTCCAGCTCTACATGATTTTGTGTTCTCCAGGTCTACAGGATTTTGTGTTCTCCAGGTCTACATGATTTTGTGTTCTCCAGGTCTACAGGATTTTGTGTTCTCCAGGTCTACAGGATTTTGTGTTCTCCAGGTCTACAGGTATTTGTGTTCTCCAGGTCTACAGGATTTTGTGTTCTCCAGCTCTACAGGATTTTGTGTGTAAAATAGCTTCACTGATATGCCTGCAAAGTTACTATATATTTGAAGATCCCAATTGTGTTTGCATCCCCCTTTGTCATGTTTGTTGTAGATGGACTTTCCCTGGCTACTAACATAAAGTAACAATGATTGTGGACTGAAATATTGCAACAGCAACAAAGATGGATGTCCTTGACACCCAAGACTACAGCCAGTTCGACAGCATCAGCACCGACAGCAGCCCGCAGCATCCATCAGGGCACCGGATGGAGAGGGGGTCTATCCTGGAACCGCCCGTTGATGACCAAGTCTATTATGTTTCAGATGATACATATGGAATATTTGCCAGTGTGAGTAACCATGGTAACAGCTATTTATGCTGAGTAATCAGTGTCTGTGTGCTTGTTGTTTAACCCGCAGCAATATTTCAGCTGTATGACGGCCACTGTATATATAATCATATGTGGAGCAGACAATCCAGTGATTTATATTGTGAGCAACGATCCATGCCAGCGAAGTAAGAACCATTTATGTTGAGTAATCAGAATGTGTGCTTGTTGTTTAACCCGCAGCAATATTTCAGCTGTATGACGGCCACTATATAAATAATCGAATGTGGAGCAGACAATCCAGTGATTAATATCGTGAGCAACAATCCATGCCAGTGGAAGTAACAGTTTTAAATGCTGAGTAATCAGAGTTTGTTTGTTTGTTGTTTAATGGCGCACTCAGCAATATTTCTGCTTTGTGACATTGGCCTGTAAATATTTGAGTCTGGACCAAACAATCCAGTGATTGACACCATGAGCAACATCCCTCGCTGTCATGGTACAATGTCCCACATTTAGCCAGGTCACTGAGTCTGACCACTGACTCCATCTAATCACTTCTTACAACCAGCACAGGATACTGGAAATCCCCACCGTGTAGTGTCATGTATCAAGTCCAATTTGTTGCCTTAGAAACAAAAAAACAAAAATGTAAAAAATTCCTGAATAACAAAATGTACCAGTTGAGCACATGCCTGATGTATAATCAAAGCTTCATAAAGAAATATAGAACAGTTTAGGAATGAACCCAGTTTGCTGGTTATAAAACTGAAAAACTCCCTAATCACGAAAGGCACCAGTTCAGTGCTTGCTTGGTATGTATATAAAGTTTCACGAAGAAGTATTGAACTTTTTATGAGTTCAGCTCCCGAAAATATCCATATCTTCATTTGAAACAAAATCCAACGTTTTAAATCAGAAACAATATAATTTCCAAACAAATCTGAATAGCAAAAGGCAACAGTGAATATGTGATGTGTAAGATGGATGAATGAATGAAATATTTAACAGTTTATAAGTTATGCTCTGGAAACGAAAGTGCTATATCTGTTTCCATGAGCAATCACAACTTCTGACTCACTGTTTTCCCTTGATCCATCACCCCCACCTTTGACAAAACGTCTGAAAAACAGAAAACTAATTTGTTTTGTAAAAATGTACCTGCTTAAAACATTTTCCTTGTTATCAAGTTTCATCTACCTTTGTCAACAGTTACTGCAGACAAATGGTAACCTTGGTAACCCTCAAAGATCCTGTTAATCTTGCCTCCTATTTTACCTATTTTTGCTTCCTTTGGTCATACAAACTGAGAAACTGACATTTTTATGCTGGTAAAATACATACACTCACCATTCAGGGTGCCAATGGTTGATCTTCTTCAATCTAATCTGTTAGATTCAAGTCCCATTCATTAATAATCTTTAGGCCAGAGCTCTATGGATATTTTTTGGAGCTAAAGTTGTAAAAAGTTTGGTACTTCTTTCTGAAACTTTGCATACATATCAAGCAAGCGCTGAACTGGTGCCTTTTGTGATTAGGGAGTTTTTAAAATTTTTGTTTTTCAGTTGCAAAGCCAGCAAATTGGACTTAAGTTAAAATGACGGTCGGGTTCATTCCTAACATGCCTAAAGTGTTCAATATTTCTTTATGAAACCTTGCATGGTACATTTTGTTTTTCGGGAATTTTTTTAAGTTTTCTTTTTTTGTTTCTAAGGCAACAACTTGGACTTGATACATGACACTACACTGTGGAGATTCCCAGTATCATGTGCCGGTTGTAAGAAGTGATTAGATGGAGTCAGTGGTCAGACTCGCTGACCTGGCTTTGTACCATGACAGTGAGGGATGTTCCTCATTAAGATCAATGACTGGATTGTTTCATTTTTTTCAAGGTCTCAGTGAGGTGTTAATTTACAAACAAAAATATTTAGAGGGGTGTAGAATGTCGATGACTTTGTCTTCTTGTTTACCTTTCTATTTGAGAGGACACTGTGCGTTATTTATGGTCTCACAGTAATGACAGTTTTCCTTGTTGGTTTTCTTTGCTGAAATGAGATCCCCTTATATGATATTTACACAATCGCATTATAATCAGATCCTAGTTCTTGCTACTTCTAATCTTTGTTAACCTTTTTAAGGTTGCATAATTAGAAAACACATTCTGACTGTCACTTTTCTGATCTGGTATGCAATGCTCTGATTGGTCAAAATGAAGGCGAAACCGCATTATCGGTGGTTCGAGAAGGGAGCTGACTCCATTTGCCTAATCGAAAGTTTGAGGTGGGCCCACATTCGAAACTAAACGCACTTGTTGTTGAGAATATATACTACGTAAACAAATCCACATTACGAACTGCTATTTTGTCTATTTAGAATAAGTATTATGACTTATAATTGGATTAAAATGTACAAATGCGATGGCAATGCAGTAGAACTCACTTCTACGAACATCACCAAACTAGGTCCTGGGGTCATTAATATTCATGAGTTTTTCCTTTATAGAACAAGTTCTCGGAAATGAGACCGTATAATATTATATAGTCACTGTGTAGACATATTTTCAGGCTTATATCGTCACCAACACTTATGATTAGATCGATGTGTTAAACTGGAAAAAGTAGAATGCGTGGTATTGCCTGTGTAAATTTAATTTGAAGTTTCTAAGTTTCTTGCTTTGTAACTATTTTTGTAAAACTAGTGTGGTCAGCTATGATGACGTTATTCAAACTTCAAAGACTTTTGTGACTTTCGTGGAATTAACGTCTCACGAAATGATTTATAAAGATATTTCCCATCAATATTACAAAATAAGAATAATATATAATGTCACATACACATGCAAAGTAAAAACAAATGTGAGCCCACTAGCCTAAATGACTTCGTCAACCCAATGAAACCCAGCGATTTACAAATGTGGGCCCACCTGTTTCGATCACTATAAGATGGGAACAATGTGGGCCCACATTTTAGGACATGGTTATAAGTGAGCCAAGCTAATGAAGCTTAGCGATTTTTTTTAATGTGGTCCCTCCTGTTGCAATCACTATGACGGAAGAACGTCTACCCACTAGGCGATATACAAATGTGGGCCCACTTGTAATGTTTAGATCACCATATATGACAGGAACAATGTGGGCCCACATTTGAGAAAATGATTATCAATATTTAAGTAGAATTTTCGCGATTAATAAATGTGGTCCCTCCTGTTGCAATCAATATGACGGAAGAACGTCTGCCCACATTTAGGAATTGATTATCAGAACTAACGAAACAACCTAACAAAGCTTGGCGAAATACAAATATGGGCCCACTTGTTTTGATCACCATAGATGATGGGAAAAATGTGGGCCCACATTTTAGAAAATGGTTATGAGCACTAAACCAATCTTAGAAGATGTATGGATGGAAACATAAATATATAATGCATTCAAACATTTAATTAAGAATACCTTTTACCTTAGGGGTAAGCTGGATCAACAATGTACAGCGTGGGTGACGCCATTTCTTGCAAATACGAAAACAAGAGAGATAGCTCCCGTTTGAAATTAGAGTGACCTCCCTTTCCCAATATGAACCACTGAATATGCGGTTTCGCCAAAATGAAAGGTCGTTCTGAGGTGACCTGTAATGGGATGTTCTCAGGTCTTAGTTTGGCGGTAGCAGGAACTAGGATCTGATTTTAATGAGATTGTATAAATGTCATGTCATGGGATCCCATTTCAGCGGTATTGAGAAATAAGATCTGATTTTAATGTGATTGAACATTTATATCACTGCACTGTGCCAAGATATCAGGTGTTGAAAAAAGGCCACTCTCATCACAGGTGTCAGTTAAAACAAGAGAACAGCATTATCACTATCCCCAGTCTTGGGGCACATTAGAATTTTGTTTGATCTTAAAGTAGTGAATATAAACTATGAAAAAAGAGTCCTGTAAAATAAGAAAAGATAGGCACTAGGTTCGCTTTATGTCATAAAAAAATATGATTAAATGTGAAATTAATACACACAAAAGTCCTCTTCTCTGGCAAAAATAATTCATTGCACCAATTCTAGAACTCAGTCTCGATAAGTATCTCTTAGGTAAGCCAGCTTCAGTAGTTTCTGGGAAAACTTGTCCCCGTTGCACACAATATGCACGAAGTTGATAAGCACGGACCAAGGGCCATAATTCGTAATAAATAATTTATGGCACCAAGTTTCGAACTCAGTCTTGTCAAGTATATCTTATATGCAGAGCTCCGGATAAGCTTTTGGTGTTGTGGGTATTTTACCCATGCATTTTAAAATCATTGGGTATCAGTAATTCTACCTGCGTATTCAAATTTCTGTTACCCACTAGTTTTTACACATGCGGGTATTTAAGTTAAATATTTAAAAACACTATTCATCTAGTCCCTGCAAACTGGTGTCGTGTGGGTTTGAGAGCTTTATAGGACTCAAAAATACCACGATACTTCCACAAGAAAGTTTGATGGCAAATGATCATGATGTAACTGTCATCGTAGAGTTTGGCAAGGTTGACGGAATGCCCCTTTATAATTTCAAAATAAGTTGCTGATTTGCTAATCATATACGCAGGGTTACTTCACAATATTTTGATGATACGCACAAGTTTTATTTTTGTAATGTTCGTTGTGTATTTGATACGCTTGGATTATATTTTACTGTGTATTTCTGCATTTCTGATGCGTATTTAACACAGATACGCAGCTTATCTGGAGCTCTATATATGTGAATGCAAACATTCATTCAGGTAACTTCAGTAGTTTCTGAGACAACTTGTCCCCACTGCACACAGCATGCACTAAGCTGGAAAGCACGGAGCAAGGGCCATAACTCAGTAAAAAATGTATTTAAGACACCAATTTTCAAACTCATTTAACATCATGACCAGTAACATCAGTGAGTAAAAATTTCATTTCTGTAAATAGTTTTTGAGAAAATTTGTTCCTTTGAAAAGAAATTACTAAGCTTTTGGAATAACATGTGCATACAAAAATGTGATGTCATTACTTTACAACTTTATAACTATAAAAAATGTTGGTCTATGAATTACCTGCAAAAAATGGGCCATAAAAATAACATCATTTCCTGTGTTTATCAGTTGTTAGTTTACAAAACACTGTGGGTGAATAACGGGTTATTAACTTGTGGTAGCCTAACTGACCCTCTTAACAGAACTTGAACTAGATTTAACTGAAGAACTGGGAAATAGATTATCAATTCATTGTGAAAGTGGAGCATATTCGCTGCTGTCTATCGTAATTTATGAAGAAAGAGAATAACTTCTTGAAGGAGCCATGTGTTATTATGCCAGATTTAAAAAGACACAGTCACATTTGAGATACTTTCTGATGGTATGTATGGAAGTCTTGAAACTTTTTGAGGCGCAACTTTTTTAATATTCTCTGCAGCGGTTTAAGGCTACGGCTTGACCTGTCATTGATAAAAAGTTGCCCCCAGTAAATGTCATGTCCAGTGGTTTTGTAGCCATCGTGTAAATGTCATTCAAATGATGTGTGAAAGTGTGTTTGTTGCAAGGAACAATGCATTTGTCTGATATTCTGTTAGACATTAACATTAGAATATTGTGCCATTCAAGACGATGTTTGACAGTGGGGATTCCAGTGCAGAATCGGTCCCCAGTACCCATTGCTTGTCACCATGTGGGGATTCCAGGGCAGAATCGGTCCCCAGTACCCGTTGCTTGTCACCATGTGGGGATTCCAGGGCAGAATCGATCTCCAGTACCCATTGCTTGTCACCATGTGGGGATTCCAGGGCAGAATCGGTCCCCAGTACCCATTGCTTGTCACCATGTGGGGATTCCAGGGCAGAATCGGTCCCCAGTACCCGTTGCTTGTCACCATGTGGGGATTCCAGGGCAGAATCGATCTCCAGTACCCATTGCTTGTCACCATGTGGGGATTCCAGGGCAGAATCGGTCCCCAGTACCCGTTGCTTGTCACCATGTGGGGATTCCAGGGCAGAATCGGTCCCCAGTACCCGTTGCTTGTCACCATGTAGGAATTCGAGTGCAGAATCAGTCCCCAGTACCCGTTGCTTGTCACCATGTGGGGATTCCAGGGCAGAATCGGTCCCCAGTACCCGTTGCTTGTCACCATGTGGGGATTCCAGTGCAGAATCAGTCCCCAGTACCCATTGCTTGTCACCATGTAGGAATTCGAGTGCAGAATCGGTCCCCAGTACCCGTTGCTTGTCACCATGTAGGGATTCCAGTTCAGAATCGATCTCCAGTACCCATGCTTGTCACCATGTGGGGATTCCCGTGCAGAATCAGTCCCTAGAACCCATTGCTTGTCACCATGTGCCGATTCCAGGGCAGAATCAGTCCCCAGGCTACTGTCCCGTACTTCCAGGCTACTTGGCTGTAATATGGGAATTTTGGAATTGCCTCAGAAAACAACTTCCGGTCCTACTAAAATAGATTCTGTTATTTCCAGGGCCGTGACTATGAGCCTGTGTACGTCACTCACAAGTACACAGAAAAGGAGAAGGAAACTCTAGCTTCCTTCGAGAGCTTGGATTATCTCCCCTCACACAGCTTCGTGTACAAACACTGGATCAAGAGACAGCTCATTACCAGGTAGGTTTGCTTTGTTGAAATTCTTTTTATCAAGCACTGTTCAGCCCATGGTATACGCATAATTTATATGGTGTAGAAACCTTTACAAGTTGTTTTGAAAGTTATAAGATGTGTTCATATGGATGAGAATTAGATTTTGTTATTTTGAACACTTGCATGTGTATAGGACTTATTACAACATTAAATGCACATGTTTTGTTTGTTTGTTGTTTAACGCCGCACTCAGCAATATTCCAGCTATATGACAGCGGTCTGTAAATAATCGAGTCTGGACCAGACAATCCAGTGATTAACATCAAGAGCATGGATCCACGCAATTGGGATCGATGACATGCATCAACCAAGTCAGTGAGCCTCACCACCCGATCCCGTTAGTTGCCTTTTACGGCAAGCATGGGTTGCTGAAGACCCATTCTACCCCGGAATCTTCACGGGTCTAATGCACATGTAAGGCTAATATGTGTCAAAGAGGCTGCTTTTAGTTTTAGACTTTTTTCAGCAATTGTTTGATCCAAGCTGATTTTCTTAAGCGATGCAGATATATTGCCAGTAATTAAGAAAATAACACATGGCCACCAATAACAAATAGAAAGTTAAAGGACATACCCTGAATCATCCCCCACTAAAACATCCCCCATAAATTGTATTAATGTGAACAGGGGGTACAGTAAACCTGGATCTGCGTCTGTTGGAGTGCTGTATTATACATGACTGTTCCACGTGTTCCAGGTTGGAGCTGGACCGATGGCTGATGATGGGGATGATCGGCTTCGGAGTCGGCCTCATTGGCTTCCTGCTTCATCAGCTGATTGAGGAGGTGGCCAAGTTCAAGTGGGATACCATACAGGGTTTCCTGGATGTAAGTCATGTGTCACACAGATCTTCCTGGATGAAAGTCATGTGTCATACAGGTCTTCCTGGATGTGAGTCATGTGGCAGGCAGGGCTTCCTGGATGTAAGTCATGTGTCATACAGATCTTCCTGGATGTAAGTCATGTGTCATACAGGGCTACTTGGATGTAAGTCATGTGTCATACAGATCTTCCTCAATGTAAGTTATGTCTCATACAGGGCTTCCTGGATGTGAGTCATGTATCATACAGGACTTCCTTGATGTGAGTCATGTGTTATACAGGGCTTCCTTGATGTGAGTCATGTGTCATACTGGGCTTCCTGGATGTGAGTCATGTGGCAGACAGGGATTCCTGGATGTGAGTCATATGTCATACAGGTCTTCCTTGATGTGAGTCATGTGGCAGGCAGGGCTTCCTGGATGTAAGTCATGTGTCATACAGGTATTCCTTGATGTGAGTCATATGGCAGGCAGGGCTTCCTTGATGTGAGTCATGTGTCATACAGGGCTTCCTGGATGTAAGTCATCCCTCAGACAGGGCTTCCTTGATGTGAGTCATGTGTCATACAGGGCTTCCTGGATGTAAGTGTTCCCTCAGACAGGGCTTTCTCGATGTGAGTCATCCCTCAGACAGGGCGTCCTTGATGTGAGTCATGTGTCATACAGGGCTTCCTTGATGTGAGTCATGTGTCATACAGGGCTTCCTGGATGTGAGTCAGTGTCATACAGGGCTTCCTGGATGTAAGTGTTCCCTCAGACAGGGCTTTCTCGATGTGAGTCATGTGTCATATAGGGCTGATATGATAGTTGATGTTTCAGGACGATAAGATGGTTATTGCCTGGTTGCTGATGTTTCAGGACGATATGATGGTTATTGCCTGGTTGCTGATGTTTCAGGATGATAAGATCGTTTTTGCCAGGTTGTTGATGTTTCAGGAAGACAAGATCGTTTTTGCCAGGTTGTTGATGTTTCAGGAGGACAAGATCATTATTGCCTGTTTTTTGTGTTTCAGGACGATAAGATGGTTATTGCCAGAATGTTAATGTTTCAGGAAGACAAGATCACTATGGCCTGTTTTTTATGTTTCAGGACGATAAGATCGTTATTGCCTGGTTGTTTATGTTTCAGGACGATAAGATTGTTATTGCCTGTTTTTTTATGTTTCAGGACGATAAGATCGTTATTGCCTGGTTGTTCGGTGTGGGCTACAGTATCCTGTTCATTGTCTTCAGCGCTGCAGTTGTTGTGGTGAGTCTGTAGTTTTAATCCGCGACACTTAGATTACTGTGTAAAATCTACCAAAGTGAAGCAAATAGTAATCCTTGCTTAAAGGCACTTCAATGTTTGTATGAAAAAACATCTGGATATTACTATGGAGTATATGCATGGATTGAGAAATTGTAAATTAGAACTGAAATCAAATCTAATATGCAAGTGGAATGTGCACTTAATATTTCTAAATCTGATAAGCAATTATTCTGTTTTCATGCTCATATTTTTAAAAGTTTTATCATTTAATGCCAAAAAAATTAATAATTAATTGAATAGAGTTTGGGAATTGTCATGTCTTCCTTAAAACTGTTGTTTATCTCCCCCTAGTTCTGGAGACCAAGTGCAGGTGGCTCTGGCATCCCTGAAGTGACCGGCTTTCTGAATGGCACCAATATCCGCCATATCTTCAACCTCCAGACAATGATCGTCAAGTTCCTGTCATGTGTGGCAGCCATTGGTTGTGGGATGCCAGTCGGCCCCGAGGGCCCAATGATCCATTTAGGGTGAGTATCATGTAGTACAGTTGATCCTCATTATTTTAAACTTCGTTGTCAAGTACAGTTGATCCTCATTGTGATGACCTTGGATGTGCCAATTTCCTGGTTGTCTCGCACTCACCTTCTGACCCCTGCCATTTCCTTCTATATGTCTCATCATTTATACTGGGATCTGTCCTATCTAAAAGTGAAAAATCTATCACATCAGGATTCTGCGCAAAGATCTCTCTCAAGTGGAAACCAAGCAGATTCCAGGTTAATTTGGCAAGGGTGGAAACTGGACTTTTACATTCAGTTAACTCCCTTGCCTTGGGAAGATGTGATATCTGAGGAGTTCGTGACGTTGACAAAATTGCTTGTGGGCAAGTTAAACTTGAGGATTTGTGTTATCAGGAAACATAGGCTTACAATAGTCGTAGCACTAAGATCGCTTTGTGCAAGTGGGCCCTGATTGCTTTCCTCATGGTTGCACTCTTCCCAGAAGTAGAAAGATCTGTTACATCCTCTGCGGCAATGCAAAACGTACCTTAGAAACAGAATGGGAGTTATTGTCAATAGGTCTTGCACTGATGCACAGTCACCCCACCGAAACTCTAGATGCACACTTGGAGAGAATTTTGATTATTTGGACCACTCCCTTTCAAATGTACAGATTCAGCCCTTGTCAGGAATGTCAAGTTGTGCATGTCTCCATTACAGCCAAGGTAATAGTTTTGCCACTTTGATATGTCAAGGGTCAAGGGTCAAGGGTCAAGGGTCATGGTCATGGTCATGGTCATGGCCAAGGTTAAAAGTTGATTTACCACCTCGATAAGGAGTGTGAGTGCTGTGTTTATCTACAAAATCTTCAAGTGACATTAAAAAAAGATTGGTTCAGTTTGTGGACCAGCACACCTTAGTGATTCTGACTACACTCTGTCCGTTCTTCCACAGAGCCCTTGTTGGAGCAGGGATGAGTCAGGCCAGGTCAGAGACACTCAGGATCAAACTGCCATTTTTCCAGCGGTTCCGGAACTCGGAGGACAGGTAAAAAAGCACTTATTTCAGTTGATATGGGGACGGTGGGGTAGCCTAGTGGTTAAAGTGTTCACTTGTTACTCTGAAGGCCAGGGTTTGATTCCCCACATGGGTACATTATGTAAAGCCCATTTTTGGTGTCCCCTGCCATGATCTTGTTGGAATATTAGTAAAAACCATCCGAAAACATATCTCACTCACCCACTCGCTGTTGATAGGATCAGTTACAGTGTTCTTGTACTACTGATCTTCATTGGTGCATTGTTTTGGCATTGACTGGGGACTTTAAACACAGGGTTCAATTGCTTACCTATGACAAACTTTATATATGGAACCCATGAATATTAATTTCTTACTAATCACATACTACTGTCACATTGCTCCCAAATAGATATTTGATATTAGATATTAGATGTATTTGATCTCATTCAGGGGACCCTATGCAGAAAGATGTTAGATAAAGTTTATGTCAGTTTGTGTTCTGGAACACTGACCATGGTCCCTCCTAGAATTATCCCTGTACTGATATACTGATGGAAAACATAGTTGGAAACATGTCGCAATATTTAGGTATTTACTGCCAAGTTCAATAAACTGACTCATAAATGTCATCAAGTGAAAAGAGTGAGTGAGTGAGTTGGGTGTTATGCAACCTTCAGTAATACTGTAAATCCTGAAATTAACGCGAGCGTGAATTAAATGCAAAAATTGGGAGTGGTCTTTGCTCGCATTATTAAACACTGCATTTATATCAACAATAAGACATTTTTAAAAGCAGAAATACCAACTCAGACATACGCTGAAAACAAACAACTACCGGGTATGTATTACACATCACTGTTTATTTAGCAGCACTTGTAACAAGTATATAAACAATGCCATTCAAACACTAATTACCTCCTGTGAATTGTCACTGCTGGGGTCAAGACAAGAGTTCTACACACTTAGGTCATCACTGATCACACCTGCAAGTCCAGACAGATGCCACCCACGCAAAACGGTGTCTTTGTTCTTTGCGACTGCGTCAAAGGCCAACACGAGCCAGCCCGCATGTATTTGTTTTAGCGGAAGTACTCTAATCAGTGCTAATGAGCCCCTTTGCGATTTCACGATTTACAGTATTTCAGCAATATCACAGCTGGGGTCACCATACATGGGCTTCGAACATTGTACACATGTGGGGAATTGAACCTTGGCCTTCTGTGTGAAGAGCGAACACTTTAACCACTTGGCTACCCCACCAGGATCTAGTATCTGATATTTTTACTTTACATTGTCAGTCATCTTCAGGATGCATTCAAAATTTCCATGTCAGCTGTTCCCTTATGGTATCTCATCAGTATGGATGATATATTACACATTAAATACATCGTTACTAAAATTTTGATGAGTGAGTTAGTGAGTAGAGTTTTATGCAGCTTTTAGCTGGGCTGACTATAAATGGGTTTCTTGTACCATGTTGGGAATCAAACCTAGGCCTTTAGCTACCCCACATTTATATATTCTTGTTTTTGTTATTTTTTCATGAAAAGATAAATATTCATACCCATTAATCTTGACATTACCAGGAGAAACTTTATCTCTGCCGGGGCGGCCGCAGGGGTGTCGTCAGCATTTGGAGCGCCAGTAGGCGGGCTGCTGTTCGCGATGGAGGAGGTGTCGTCGTTCTGGACCACGGCCCTGTCCTGGCAGATCTTCTTCTGTTGTATGATCTCCACCTTCACCACCGATCTCTTCAACTCCGCCTTCGAGGGATTCAGCTACACCGGGGGTTTTGGCGAGTTCAAGCTGGAGAGATATATTCTGTTCAACGTGAGCACTTACAGAGCACATTGACTTCATTGACACTAAAAAATTTCTTTTTATCCCCATCAGCTGGGTGAGAATGGCTCCCCAGTACTCCATTACTTACCCTAAGAGGGGATTAATTTTAAGTGGGTGGTAAGGGTGACTTGGTTGATTGTATGTCATCCTGCTTGACGACATGGGACGTTGCTCATAATATCAACCACTGGTTTCCCTTGCCCAGATGGTTACTTACAGGTAGTTGTATTATTGATGAAATACTGCTGACTGTGGCATAAAATGAACAAAAATGAACCTCATTATTTTTGTAATATGTAATGGAGTGGTTTATTTCAAAACACTTTTTTCTAAAGACAAGGTCATCCTTGGAGGATAATGTTTAACCAAACAGCTACATGGAAGAAAGGATTCTCTGTGTCAGGATGAAAGTGAGTTGTAAGGGTCACAGGCCTAGGAATCTTACTTTGCTGTGCAGAGTTACCTCCCTTGGGTGTGCCAGAATTCTCTGATTTGTCCTAGGTTCTTGGTTTGGCAGCACGATACCTGTGCTAGTGGGTTTCACCAATGTGGTAAATCTCTAAAACTTCCTTCACTTCAAGCTTTTCTGCCATATCAAGTTTACATGCTATTATGTAACTGTAAAACAACATAAAACCCCACTCACTCACTCACCCAGTGAGGACTGCCTCCATAGTCTACTGGATAGAGCATCCCCCCCAGAGAGCAGAATGTCAGTAGTTAGATCCCGGACAGCAATACACCAAAATATGTTCAAAGATGGTACTTTTTGTTACCCTGTCTGGTGCTCGACATTAAGGGATAAAACAAGGACTGGACTAGCCGTCTCAAAAGTTGGGTATCCATGTTAAACTGTGGCATGGTATTTCAGTGGGTTAGCACAATAAAACCAACATTAGTCCAGACCAGTACACACAGCAAAACACACACACATGTTATATAAGTGCAATAATCTTGAACGCAACTTTAAACCCATTTTTACCTCACTCACCCAATGAGTCGTAGTTCTCAGTGTGATGTCCTGTGTGTTCCAGATCAGTAAAGGTGTTAATGTCAACATCCTGATGTTCATCCCCACCGTCGTGGTGGGCGTCATCGGTGGCCTCACCGGCGCCCTCTTCACCATCATCAACCTCAAGATCACTCGCAGTAGAAAGAGACTCCTGTCCCGGATTGCCAAAAGTTGGGGGCAGAAAACTTTCAGGCTTGTGGAGCCTGCAGTAATAATGGTAGGTGGAACAGACATACATCCTGGATTATCCTGGGCATTAAGTCTTCATTCTGTACGAGGGGGGCACGGGTGGCCCAGTCGTCTAAGGCACCGTGATTCGCTGTGCAGAGTTGCGTCCCTTGGGCACGCCAGAAACCTGTGATTGTGGGTTCGAATCCTGGTTCGCCCCGATTATGTTTCTAGGTTTGTCAGCACCATACCCGTGCTCGTGGGTTTTACCGAAGTGGTAAACGTCTAAGACCTGCATCACTTCGGGCTTTCCTCCCACATTAAGTTGACACGCCGCGATATAACTGGAATACTGTTAAAAGTGGCGTTAAACCGAACTCACTCACTCACTCATTCTGTACGATCAATATCTTGGACCTCTATGGCACCATTTCGGAAGTGATATCACCCCCTGATTGCTCCTAGCTCCACTTGGCAGAATTTCTCTCATTCATGGGAGTTTTTTTATCGGATGGCTGTTTTTAGCATCATACTGTTTCGAACAAGCTCAGAACAATGCTATGATCGCCAGTGGATCCAGGGTGGTAACCATAACAGAATGGATGTATGATACCCTGGATTATTAAGGTTGGATTGCAGTTGTTCATCACCCCCTACACGGTCTTGTCCATGCCCCATATGATAATTCTTATAGAACTGTGAAGATCTCGGTCGGATTAGGTCATCAGCAACCCATGCTTGCCGTAAGCTCCAGACTGACTGTCAGTAATGGCGTGTGTTTCAGGTGATTGTGAGACAGATTAGCTCCAGACTGACTGTCAGTAATGGCGTGTGTTTCAGGTGATTGTGAGACAGATTAGCTCCAGACTGACTGTCAGTAATGGCGTGTGTTTCAGGTGATTGTGAGACAGATTAGCTCCAGACTGACTGTCAGTAATGGCGTGTGTTTCAGGTGATTGTGAGACAGATTAGCTCCAGACTGACTGTCAGTAATGGCGTGTGTTTCAGGTGATTGTGAGACAGATTAGCTCCAGACTGACTGTCAGTAATGGCATGTGTTTCAGGTGATTGTGAGACAGATTAGCTCCAGACTGACTGTCAGTAATGGCGTGTGTTTCAGGTGATTGTGAGACAGATTAGCTCCAGACTGACTGTCAGTAATGGCGTGTGTTTCAGGTGATTGTGAGACAGATTAGCTCCAGACTGACTGTCAGTAATGGCGTGTGTTTCAGGTGATTGTGAGACAGATTAGCTCCAGACTGACTGTCAGTAATGGCGTGTGTTTCAGGTGATTGTGACTACCGTGGTGCTGTTCCTGCCATCAGCCTTCTCCTGCTCGTCCTACAGATGTATAGAGGGGGCTACTGGCCCAGTTGTGTAAGTGTGAGAGAGTAAGACTCGCTTGTCTCCCTTTGTGCCATGACGGGAGACTTCCAGTGGGATGTCATTAAAATGAAGGGTGGTGAATGACACTTATTAGTCTTCAACTAACATAGTCGGAATCAGCAGGTAACAATAGTGCAGGCTCAGCCCAGAAACTGGAAACAGCCTGGGGGGGCCTGTGAAGTAATATCGCAAAGGGACTCAAATGACCTCTTTCTCATAAATAAAGTGAAAAATGATAAAACTTTAAAATCAACTCTTCAGACACAATGAAGATAACTTTGTTAAGGATAAATAAGACCTTATTTTGACTGAAAGGGAAAAAAACTAGTTCACATTGTTGAAATTTGATTTAGATTTATTTGCTCAGGATGAGCTGGTACTTTGTGTGATATGTAGCACTGCAGTTGGATTATAATCAAGAATTTACCTGCTCTCTTAAACTTTGAAAAAAATTGAAATTAAAGAAAGTGGTTCAGAATATCTTCCTCAGACGCCCAGTGTTGGTGACGGTCACCATGCACAGAATTTCCTTTGATTTCAAACTAATGCCTGTGGCTCTTAACAGGATTTCTCTATTTCTCTGCATATTTAGCCATGTTGTGAGTGTTATACATACCCCATTAGTTACAATTATGAAAGCTTGAAATTTTATATACCAAACTGAATTGCTACTAACATTTGCTGTTGACCTGAATATTTGCCTCTAGGAACACCCAGATCAACCAGATCGCCTCTATGGCCTAGTGGATAGTGAGTGAGTGAGTTAAAGTTTAGCATCACATCGGCAGTATTTCGGCCATATAGCGACCCTAGTGGATAGTGTCCTGGAGAGCAGAAGGTCAGTGGCTTGATACCCGGACGTGTCATACGAAGAGACATTAAATGATGGTGCTTGTTGTTTCACCCTGGTCCTTGGCATGAAGGGCATGGAACTAGGACTGGTCGCCTCGGAGTGTCTGAGTAGAGTATCCCTGTTAAACTGCAACATGGTATCTCAGTGGCCTAGCATAGTACAACTGTCTTTAGTCTAGACTAGTACAAGCAGCCACCCACGCACACAGCCACGCACGCACGCACCCTCGCACGCACGTACCAATGCATGCAGCCACGCACGCAGCGTGCACGCACGCACACACGCACGCAGCCACGCAGCCACGCAGCCACGCACGCAGCCACGCACGCACGCAGCCACGCATGCAGCCACGCACGCACGCAGGCAGGCAGGCAGGCAGGCAGGCAGGCACTATATAAGTGCAATAACGTGAAACCCAATTTTACTTCACCACCGAGACCAACCAGTAGATGCTTGTAAACATTGTTGTTTCTTTCACAGTTCAGACTGTTTAAATGACACCCGCAATGCGCTGCACATCGAGTCAGCTGTAAAAACCTACACGTGTGTCCAGGGAGAGAAATGGCAGGTCAACGAGACCACCTGGCACACCAATGGGACTTACAATGAATGTGAGTATACTTTCAACTATACATTGTATTTCATGTAGGAAGTTCCTGCTGCCTTGTGATATATGGAACTGTAGTATGTAAGAACAGATGACACCCATGTCCATTGGCTAGATGTCCCAGATTCTGCCTAGGCCCACACTACGATCTTAGTACTAAGATGATCATAACTCCCATGTTAATCATAGACTTATGACAGTCATAATGCTGAGATTGCTTTGTGGAGCATGGACGTTACCATGATGCTGTTCTCTGCATCAGGTTAAGTCGTGCCGAAAATCTCACCCAGTTCAATCTCATTAAAATCAGACCTTAGTTCTCGCTACGTAGAAATTAGTGCCGTAAAGCACGAGAAAGCTTCCTTCTGGTCATTCCATTGGTCCGCCAAAGTTCGGGCAAGGTCGGTCTTACGTGACCCGTAATGGGATGTCCTCAGATCTTTGTTTAGCGGTAGCGAGAACTAAGACCTGATTTTAATAAGATTATATATCAATACAAGTTGATAAGAGGTTTTTACTTTTTTTTACAACTGTTGATATATTTGATATCAAAAGACACAAGGATGAGGTACGACTCATCCAAGGTCATTCTTCCAACTTTTCAGTTTGTACACAGTAATCACCAGTGTCTTGAGTGTAATGGGTAGAATTCCCGGCCACGTCATACCAAAAGATGTTAAAAGATGGTACTTGTTGTTTTCCTGTATGGCACTCGGCACTATACATTATTGGGTAGTGATGTTCAAATCGCATTGTATTTCAAGCAAAGTCAACTTAATTCAATTAATACACATGTGTACCATTAATGAAATTACACTTAAATGTAGGACACCTTTTAATATTTCTTCTGTCTTGTTTTGTCAGTGGCCTCCTTGTTGTTTGGTACTCTGGAGACAGCCGTGAAGCATCTGTTTTCTCGCGGGACCCACGTCCAGTTCGGCTACGCCACGCTGTTCACAGCCTTCCCCTACTTCTTCCTGGCCGTGTGCTGGTCCTCCGGCACCTCCGTGTCCTGTGGCATGCTGGTCCCCATGTTGTAAGTAGCTGGTCCCCATGTTGTAAGTAGCTGGTCCCTATGTTGTAAGTAGCTGGTCCTCCGGCACCTCCGTGTCCTGTGGCATGCTGGTCCCCATGTTGTAAGTAGCTGGTCCCCATGTTGTAAGTAGCTGGTCCCCATGTTGTAAGTAGCTGGTCCCCATGTTGTAAGTAGCTGGTCCCTATGTTGTAAGTAGCTGGTCCTCCGGCACCTCCGTGTCCTGTGGCATGCTGGTCCCCATGTTGTAAGTAGCTGGTCCCTATGTTGTAAGTAGCTGGTCCTCCGGCACCTCCGTGTCCTGTGGCATGCTGGTCCCTATGTTGTAAGTAGCTGGTCCCCATGTTGTAAATAGCTGGTCCCCATGTTGTAAGTAGCTGGTCCCTATGTTGTAAGTAGCTGGTCCTCCGGCACCTCCGTGTCCTGTGGCATGCTGGTCCCCATGTTGTAAGTAGCTGGTCCCCATGTTGTAAGTAGCTGGTCCTCCGGCACCTCCGTGTCCTGTGGCATGCTGGTCCCCATGTTGTAAGTAGCTGGTCCCCATGTTGTAAGTAGCTGGTCCCCATGTTGTAAGTAGCTGGTCCTCCGGCACCTCCGTGTCCTGTGGCATGCTGGTCCCTATGTTGTAAATAGCTGGTCCCCATGTTGTAAGTAGCTGGTCCCCATGTAAGTAGCTGGTCCCCGTGTGGTAACTAGCTGGTCCCCATGTTGTAAGTAGCTGGTCCCCATGTTGTAAGTAGCTGGTCCCCACGTTGTAAGTAGCTGGTCCCTATGTTGTAAGTAGCTGGTCCTCCGGCACCTCCATGTCCTGTGGCATGCTGGTCCTCCGGTACCTCCGTGTCATATGGCATGCTGGTCCTCCGGCACCTCCGTGTCCTGTGGTATGCTGGTCCCTATGTTGTAAGTAGCTGGTCCCCATGTTGTAAGTAGCTGGTCCTCCGGGCACCTCCGTGTCCTGTGGCATGCTGGTCCCCGGTAGATGGTTCCCGTGTCCTGAGTAGCTGGTCCCCTTGTAAATAGCTGGTCCTCTGCTGTAAATAGCTGGTCCTCTGCTGTAAATAGCTGGTTCTCTACTGTAAATAGCTTGTCCCCATGTTTGTTTTTTGATGAACGGGTATTTAACATGCTATATATCAAAATCGAGGGGAGATATAATACACTAAATAACTGAGGATGGATTATGGAATCTTTACAGCATTTTACATATTTTAAAATACTTTAAGTCAAACACTGTTGTGTCGAAGTATAAGGGACCTTCGTAAGTACTTTGAGTTATCCATGGTTCAACACAACCAAAAATGATAAATAAAAAAGGAATATGCAGGGACCAAACTTTTACTTCGAGACACCCGTAAGTTTGTCACATCAAAGTTCGACACATCAAAGTTTGACACAACAGTGTTTGACTTTGTCTGTGAAATCAAAATATTAATCATCATTACTGAAAGACATCATAAGACTGAAAGACATAATTAATCAAGGTTATTATTTACATTGTGGGAATGTTCAATATGAAAGTGTTAGGCAATACACACTCAAAGACGTTCTCTGCTTTCAGGTTGATTGGATCCTTATATGGTCGTATTATTGGTATCGCCATGGTTTCCATGTTTGGAGTCCACTCTGAGACTACGGGCTACTGGGCGTGGATGGATCCAGGGGTCTTTGCTCTCATCGGAGCCGCCTCCTTCTTTGGGGGCGTGTCCAGACTTACCCTGGCAGTCACTGTCATCATGGTGAGTGTCCAGTGTGAGGTCATGACAATAGAGGTGAGGTGAGGTGAAATGGGGTTTAACGTCGCGTCCAAGATTATTACACTTACATAGCGATGTGCATGTACGTGTGTGTGTTTGTGTGGCTGCTTGTACTAGTCCGGACTGATGCCGATTTATAGTGCTAGCTCACTGAGATACCATGCTGCAGTTTAACATGAATAACCCACTCAGACACAGTATACTGACTCCGAGCCGACCAGTCCTTGTTTTAGCCCCTTAATGCCGAGCGCCAGACAGAGTAACAACAAGTACCATCTTTTAAAGTCTTTTGGTATGACGCGGCCGGGGATCGAACCCCGGACCTTCCGCTCTCCGGGCGGACGCTCTACCACTTGACCACGGAGGCGGTTGACAATAAAGGAGATATGTAGGTGAGATAATGATCACCAGGCAACTAACTGATGCAGTGTTATGTTTTAGGTTGTTGTTTATTAAAGATGCCAAGATCAGGTAATGATTACACACTTTTTATGGATAACAATTTCTTTTGTGCATTGTATTATGACAAAGAATAATAGAAGTTGCTATCCATAAAATGTGTCATGTATTCATGTTCTTCCAGCTTCTAAATGTCCATGAAACACTTCAAGATCAGGTAACAAACTTGGAATTATTCTAATTAGCAGTAAGTAAAAGCATGACTGCAGGAAGATGCTGTTTGACGTGTTGGCGGACCTTTGTCAACTCTCATACATTATAGCATGTGAGTTATCTAACTTACAAAGGAGCATTATACCCCTAGGATCACAAGCCTTACAGACGTGGTAGGGTAGCTTTGTGGTTAAACTGTTGAAAGGAAAGGGTTCGAATCCCCACATGGGTACAATGGTTGAAACTAATTTCTGGTGTCCCCTCCCGTGATATTGCTGGAACATTGCTAACAGTTGAGTAAAACATGCCCTAGTTCCTTCTACTAGTGTATTAAATATACGTATACAGTCACGTGTCGGTTATCTGACAATCGGCTTTTTCCGACACTAATGAGGGGAACCCATTAAATCAGTGCTATTTAGACCCGTTAATCCGACAGTCTCGCACTCCGACTCCGACACACCTAATTTGCAACAAACTACTGAAATCACTCATTAATCAGTCTCGTTAATCCGACACAGTGATCAGCGTACGTCATCTGCCCACGAGTACACCACCCCGTGTTTTGATGCGAGATGAGTCGACTGGTAGCTACATATTACAACGGCTGCAGAGATAAACAAGCTTAACAATAAACAATTATGGAAAAATTAGTGTTTGTAATGTTATCTATTGTGTAGTTGTCTGATTTTCGATCACGAACATTGATGCAACTTAATTTCTTTTATCTGACATACTTGTTAATCCGACATAATCATATGCAACCAACCATGACGGATTAACGGGACTTGACTGTACTAAACTAAAGCATTACAGGGATGGGTATTATTTATCTTTCTTTTTCTGGAATGGGTCAATAATGATATAATATCTGGTTATTTGTCACCGACATTAACAGGTTCCTAGACTAAGCCTTACTGGGGCCTCTGGGTTACAATTGGTCCTGACCAACCAGTATCTGTCGTAAGAAGTGACTAAATGGATCAGGTTCACTGGCTCAGTGAATTGGTTAATGGCGTGGGTCGTTCCACATTATTATCACTGGTTGGTCTTTCCTTGTATGGTGGATTAGGTTTGTGTTTTCGGATGGAGCTGTTTAATGATGTGTAGGTTCTACTTGATAAGCTTATTGTTTTGCACGAGGAAACAGCACATTTGACTAGAATATATGGCTTTTTAGAACTAACAAACGACTTTAAATGTTGTAATGGTGGATTGGGTTTGTGTTTTCAGATGGAGCTGACTAACGATGTGCAGGTTCTACTCCCGGTGATGGTGGCGGTGATGGTGTCCAAGTGGGTGGGAGATTTCTTCACTCATCCCATCTTCCACGCCCACCTTGAGCTGAAGTGTATTCCCTTCCTGGACACAGAGCCGCGGGTCATGAACGAGGGGAAACTGTACGTGAATAACCCTGTTGGCTTCAGTCTTGTCCAGTATTTAATGTATTACCCATAGGGCAAGGATAGTGATGTCATTGTTTTCAGTAATTCTCGTGGCAATATCGTTGCCGATTGATCTTGTGACCGCAATTGGACTATCAGTATAGTGACTCGAAGTGCAAACAGGGTCAATTGTGACATGACAAGCAAGTAATGTGACATCTGATCTCTTATGTGGATGATATGCCTACTGGTTATGCCTACTGGTTATCTTGGTGTCCAGGCTTCAGCTGAATCTGCTGTGTGTATGATATTCCCCTACCTACTGGTTATCTTTGTTTCCAGCCTTCAGCTGAATCTGTTGTGTGGATGATATTCCCCTACCTACTGGTTATATTTGTTTCCATCCCTCAGCTGGATCTGTTATGTGGATGATATTCCCCCACCTACTGGTTATCTTTGTAAGCAGCCTTTGGCTGAACCTGCTGTGTGGATGATATTTCCCTACCTACTGGTTAGATTTGTTTCCATCCCTCAGCTGGATCTGTTATGTGGATGATATTCCCCCACCTACTGGTTATCTTTGTAAGCAGCCTTTGGCTGAACCTGCTGTGTGTATGATATTCCCCTACCTACTGGTTATCTTTGGAAGCCGCCTTTGGCTGAACTTGCTGTGTGTATGATATTCCCCTACCTACTGGTTATCTTTGTAAGCAGCCTTTGGCTGAACCTGCTGTGTTGATGATATTCCCCTACCTACTGGTTATCTTTGTAAGCAGCCTTTGGCTGAACCTGCTGTGTGTATGATATTCCCCTACCTACTGGTTATCTTTGTAAGCAGCCTTTGGCTGAACCTGCTGTGTGTATGATATTCCCCTACCTACTGGTTATCTTTGTTTCCAGCCTTCAGCTGGATCTGTTATGTGGATGATATTCCCCCACCTACTGGTTATCTTTGTAAGCAGCCATTGGCTGAACCTGCTGTGTGTATGATATTCCCCTACCTACTGGTTATCTTTGTAAGCAGCCTTTGGCTGAACCTGCTGTGTGTATGATATTCCCCTACCTACTGGTTATCTTTGTAAGCAGCCTTTGGCTGAACCTGCTGTGTGGATGATATTCCCCTACCTACTGGTTATCTTTGTAAGCAGCCTTTGGCTGAACCTGCTGTGTGGATGATATTCCCCTACCTACTGGTTATCTTTGTTTCCAGCCTTCAGCTGGATCTGTTATGTGGATGATATTTCCCCACCTACTGGTTATCTTTGTAAGCAGCCATTGGCTGAACCTGCTGTGTGTATGATATTCCCCTACCTACTGGTTATCTTTGTAAGCAGCCTTTGGCTGAACCTGCTGTGTGGATGATATTCCCCTACCTACTGGTTATCTTTGTTTCCAGCCTTCAGCTGGATCTGTTATGTGGATGATATTCCCCTACCTACTGGTTATCTTTGTAAGCAGCCATTGGCTGAACCTGCTGTGTGTATGATATTCCCCTACCTACTGGTTATCTTTGTAAGCAGCCTTTGGCTGAACCTGCTGTGTGGATGATATTCCCCTACCTACTGGTTATCTTTGTAAGCAGCCTTTGGCTGAACCTGCTGTGTGGATGATATTCCCCCACCTACTGGTTATCTTTGTTTCCAGCCTTCAGCTGGATCTGTTATGTGGATGATATTCCCCCACCTACTGGTTATCTTTGTAAGCAGCCATTGGCTGAACCTGCTGTGTGTATGATATTCCCCTACCTACTGGTTATCTTTGTAAGCAGCCTTTGGCTGAACCTGCTGTGTGTATGATATTCCCCTACCTACTGGTTATCTTTGTAAGCAGCCTTTGGCTGAACCTGCTGTGTGGATGATATTCCCCTACCTACTGGTTATCTTTGTAAGCAGCCTTTGGCTGAACCTGCTGTGTGTATGATATTCCCCTACCTACTGGTTATCTTTGTAAGCAGCCTTTGGCTGAACCTGCTGTGTGTATGATATTCCCCTACCTACTGGTTATCTTTGTAAGCAGCCTTTGGCTGAACCTGCTGTGTGTATGATATTCCCCTACCTACTGGTTATCTTTGTTTCCAGCCTTCAGCTGGATCTGTTATGTGGATACCCCTACCTACTGGTTATCTTTGTAAGCAGCCATTGGCTGAACCTGCTGTGTGTATGATATTCCCCTACCTACTGGTTATCTTTGTAAGCAGCCTTTGGCTGAACCTGCTGTGTGGATGATATATGCTATAACTACTGTTTTCTGTTTCCAGCCTTCAGTTGGATCTGTTCTGCGCCCGAGATATCATGTCGTCTCCTGTGGTGTCAGTCCACCAAGTGGAGTCTGTAGCTTCATTAGCTGACATGTTGCTAAGCAACTGTCATGGTGGCTTCCCAGTGGTTAAAAGGGACAGGAACAATGAAGAAGTTTTCTTCGGTTTAATTACAAGGTAAAGGTTTGTTGCAATTGTGCTTTTGTTTGTTTGTTGTCTTAGCGCTGCTCTCACTTATACACCAGCAATATGACTGCAATTGTTCTTTAAGGTGTTGACATGACATACATCAATCATTGATTATGAATTAGATATTTATTTATTATCATTACTTATTTATACACGCTTTAAATGTATTGTTGCTCATGAGAACTGATCTTAGAGAGAGTCAATGTTCACACTTTTCATTATCCTTTGTGGTTTGGGGGTATGTTTTAAGGCCAAAAGCCACGCTCAAAACATAGAATAGAAGTAGTTTTTATTTTTGTTTGCCAGATCGTTCCATGTTAACTTAATTAAAAAATTTAATTAAATAATAATTAATAAGATGCATTGTATGTTGTCTCTGGCTATTGCAAGCACATATAATTAGAGAACAAGGTTATCTCAAAAGAAAAGTCATATCCTGTTAGAGTGAAAAAAACATTTAACACCAGCATGTATTTTTTCCCAATTATTTTTTTAGATCCCCCAACCAAAGCTAACTGATTTGCCAAATATCCAGAAAAAAAAGAAATATTTTGTTTAAACACATATAAGATTGTTTTAACCATAAAGAATTTTTAACTTTAATAATACGAAACACACCCACCTCTTTCATTGACAAGTGGCGGAGAGGTAGCCTAGTGGTGAAGGCTGTGACTTGCAATGCCAATACCCTGGTTTGATTCCCAACATGGTAAGTTTGGGTTTCCTTCCCCATGACAGCTATGACAAGTCAATATCACTCCTCATTCAACATTGGTGTAGACATATGAATAGGAATATTTTGAATACATGACACTTTTTTATGGATAGCAACTTTTATTCTTTGTACGATGTTTCAGAGCTACTTCTTGCTCCTTCGTCCATAGAGTACTGTGTATATATGAGTCATGATGTTTGCACACCACACGATGGGATTTATGTGCAAAGAGAATGATATACTGACGACGCCAATTGGTTAGGATCAATGTACAAAGATAATGATATAATGACGAAGCCGATTAGTTAGGATTAATGTACAAAGATAATGATATACTGACGAAGCCGATTGGTTAGGATTAATGTACAAAGATAATGATATACTGACAAAACTGATTGGTTAGGATTAATGTTCAAAGATAATGATATACTGACGACGCCAATTGGTTAGGATCAATGTACAAAGATAATGATATAATGACGAAGCTGATTGGCTAGGATTAATGTACAAAGATAATGCTATACTGACGAAGCTGATTGGTTAGGATCCATGTACAAAGATAATGATATACTGACGAAGCCGATTGGTTAGGATTAATGTACAAAGATAATGATATACTGACGAAGCCGATTGGTTAGGATTAATGTACAAAGATAATGATATACTGACGAAGCTGATTTGTTAGGATTAATGTACAAAGATAATGATATACTGACGAAGCCGATTGGTTAGGATTAATGTACAAAGATAAAGATATACTGACGAAGCCGATGGGATAGGATTAATGTACAAAGATAATGATATACTGACGAAGCTGATTGGTTAGGATTAATGTACAAAGATAATGATATACTGACGAAGCCGATTGGTTAGGATTAATGTACAAAGATAATGATATACTGACGAAGTCCATTGGTTAGGATTAATGTACAAAGATAATGATATACTGACGAAGCTGATTGGTTAGGATTAATGTACAAAGATAATGATATACTGACGAAGCCGATTGGTTAGGATTAAAGTACAAAGATAATGATATACTGACGAAGTCGATTGGTTAGGATTAATGTACAAAGATAATGATATACTGACGAAGCTGATTGGTTAGGATTAATGTACAAAGATAATGATATACTGACGAAGCCGATTGGTTAGGGTTAATGTACAAAGATAATGATATACTGACGAAGCCGATGGGATAGGATTAATGTACAAAGATAATGATATACTGACGAAGCTGATTTGTTAGGATTAATGTACAAAGATAATGATATACTGACGAAGCCGATTGGTTAGGATTAATGTACAAAGATAAAGATATACTGACGAAGCCGATGGGATAGGATTAATGTACAAAGATAATGATATACTGACGAAGCTGATTGGTTAGGATTAATGTACAAAGATAATGATATACTGACGAAGCCAATTGGTTAGGATTAATGTACAAAGATAATGATATACTGACGAAGTCGATTGGTTAGGATTAATGTACAAAGATAATGATATACTGACGAAGCCGATGGGATAGGATTAATGTACAAAGATAATGATATACTGACGAAGCCGATGGGATAGGATTAATGTACAAAGATAATGATATACTGACGAAGCCGATGGGATAGGATTAATGTACAAAGATAATGATATACTGACGAAGCCGATGGGATAGGATTAATGTACAAAGATAATGATATACAGACGAAGCCGATTGGTTAGGATTTATGTACAAAGATAAAGATATACTGACGAAGCCGACGGGATAGGATGATGAAGGAGCAAGAAGTACCTCTGAAATGATGTACAAAGAATAAAAGAAGTTGCTATCCATAAAAAAAGTGTCATGTATTCATGTTCTCCCAACTTCTAAATGCCTATCAAAGACCTCGGGAGTATTTTGAATGTAATTTGAGTCCAATACGCAGATTCTTGCAACATGTAGACCATGTTTTCTGTGTCTGCAGGAATGAACTGATGGTGTTGCTGATGCATGAGGAGTTGTTTCAGTCGGACGACCACGTCGACTTCCACGAGGGTAACGACATCACTTGGGTTGATTACGAGAAGGTATGATCCAGGAAGGCTGGGAGAGTTGGCTCCTGTTTAAAGGAGGAACTCATCTGGGGAGGGTGGTCTCTTTAGCACGTGTTCATCTCGGGATGAAAAGCTTGGAGAGTTGATTCCTGTTTAAAGGAAGAACTCATCTGGGGAGGGTGGTCTCTTTAGCACTTGTTCATCTTGGGATGAAAGGCTTGGAGAGTCGATTCCTGTTTAAAGGAAGAACTCATCTGGGGAGGGTGGTCTCTTTAGCACGTGTTCATCTTGGGATGAAAGGCTTGGAGAGTCGATTCCTGTTTAAAGGAAGAACTCATCTGGGGAGGGTGGTCTCTTTAGCACGTGTTCATCTTGGGATGAAAGGCTGGGAGAGTTGATTCCTGTTTAAAGGAAGAACTCATCTGGGGAGGGTGGTCTCTTTAGCACTTGTTCATCTTGGGATGAAAGGCTTGGAGAGTCGATTCCTGTTTAAAGGAAGAACTCATCTGGGGAGGGTGGTCTCTTTAGCACGTGTTCATCTTGGGATGAAAGGCTTGGAGAGTCGATTCCTGTTTAAAGGAAGAACTCATCTGGGGAGGGTGGTCTCTTTAGCACGTGTTCATCTTGGGATGAAAGGCTTGGAGAGTTGATTCCTGTTTAAAGGAAGAACTCATCTGGGGAGGGTGGTCTCTTTAGCACTTGTTCATCTTGGGATGAAAGGCTTGGAGAGTCGATTCCTGTTTAAAGGAAGAACTCATCTGGGGAGGGTGGTCTCTTTAGCACGTGTTCATCTTGGGATGAAAGGCTTGGAGAGTTGATTCCTGTTTAAAGGAAGAACTCATCTGGGGAAGGTGGTCTCTTTAGCACGTGTTCATCTTGGGATGAAAGGCTTGGAGAGTTGATTCCTGTTTAAAGGAAGAACTCATCTGGGGAGGGTGGTCTCTTTAGCACGTGTTCATCTTGGGATGAAAGGCTTGGAGAGTCGATTCCTGTTTAAAGGAAGAACTCATCTGGGGAGGGTGGTCTCTTTAGCACGTGTTCATCTTGGGATGAAAGGCTTGGAGAGTCGATTCCTGTTTAAAGGAAGGACATATGTGGGCAGGGTTGTCTCTTTAGCACTTGTTCATCTCAGGATGAAAGGCTGGGACAGGTGGTTCCTGTTTATAGTTTTCCCTGATTATGTTTCTTGATTTGTCAGCACTATACCCATGCTTGTGGGGTTCACCAAATTGGTAACCATCTATGACCTTCCTCCCACATTAACATGACATCGCGTGATATAACTTGAATACTTTTAAAAGCGCAGTTGAACCCAACTTACTCACTCACTCCTGTCTAAAGGAAAAACATATCTGGGGATGGTCATCTTTTATTACACTTGTTCATCTCAGGCACCACTTACACAAAGCAATCATAGTACCCTGGTATGTGCTACAAGCACCCTAGCTCCCATAGTTTACACAGACTTACAATAGTGCTGCAATCGAAATGCTTCAGTCGTTATGAGCAGCCAAACTTAAAGTTCTCCTCAGCTAATATGGATATACTTGTCTTCTAATATGGATATACTTGTCTTCTGTAAACATGTTTTCTTGGCGCCTAGACTGACTGATCTTAATCTCGGTGTGAATATTCTTCCCAAAGATTAACCCACATTTGTTCAAATGTATCTGATTGATTGGTTACAATTTCTGTGATTGACCAAAAAATAAATAAAAATATTATCATCCTGTCTTCAAATGCGTGACTGATGAAGCTGAAACATCTATGAATTTTACTTTAAGTGACTGATGTTGTGAAATTATTTAACCAGGTGAGCTACAGTATCTTTCCATTATTCCTTATTATGACAATGGTTCCATGTTCTCATTTGTCTCCAGCTCCTGTTGGAGAAGATGCCCAAACCAGAAGATGCAGTAGACACATTCAAGAGATACCACGAGGACTCGAAATACAGGGATATGTTTCTCAACTTGGTAGGTGGAGCTGTAGTGTCATGTCACACTCACAGATCCATTGGAGACATACCCTATTTCCTCAATTAAACTCCAGGCCTCCAATGAACGCCATTGTCCCTGCTAAACAGAAGCATTTTAGAGAACTAATAAGTTACTCTACCAAAGATGGGGCTGTGGAAATCATTAGTCAGAAATTGAAATCATAAGTGCCAGGCCTCGATTAAACACTGGGCTGAAGTGTGTCTGAAAGGAATATACACCGAGCATTTAATGGAGGAAATACAGACATCTTTGAACTTAATTAATTTGCCAGATAAAATGAATGTGTCTGTGGTATGTTATATACCTCATCGGACAGATCAGGGTGAGAAAAATTACATTATTTTCGTGACTGTTAGTCTCATGTGAATTCATTGTGACTGTTAATCATATGTTTCAGATTCAATAGTTAGCCTTACTTAAGGAATCGATGATGAGTGGGAGTTGATATCATACACTATAAGACTGCAGGGAGAATAAACCATGAGGGGCGAATATCCAGATCTCGAGAAATGACATCATGATAGAACAATGTTTTATCGTAAAATAAACCACACTTTTTTCTTTAATGTTGTTTGCGATTTATCGCGTAGCTACCTTATATATTTAATAATGTTCTTTGAACTGATATACATTTTACATAAAGACTGACACAAATGTGTTATTTAGGACAGACTTTTCACAGTGTCTTCCGACATTGTTAATCTGGCAGTTTTTTTTACATGTTTATTTTGGGTGAAAGATTTTCCAAAATGCGGGTTAAAGTGATGTCATATCTGATTAGGTCCCAGCAACCTGAGCATCTTGAATAGATTGACTAGACGCTGAGAGTCGCACATTGTAAGCCTGAGAAAATCATCTGTTTACAGAACCCTTACATCAACCAGTCAGCGCTCTCTGTGCAAGAGAAGTTCTCTCTTCATCGGACGTACATCGTGTTGAGGACACTCGGCATGCGCCACCTGGTGGTGACAGATGCAATGAACAGGGTGGTCGGCTTCATCACACGGAAGGACTTGATGGGTTTCAGTATTGAGGAGAAACTGAACTTAGTAATGGAGAAACAGATCGAGATGCAGGAGCGTCTTCTACACGACCAGGAACTGCATGGCTCCGAATCGATATCATAACAACCTGTCGTCATTAGGAAATGAGCAATACAAGTGCTGTATAACCAATCAAAAGAGGAAATAGTCTTTCTGATTGAATTTAATCCATCAATTCCAATGGAATGGAAAATAAAGACTGTTCATTTTTGACATATAGTACTCAAAAGAAGTTAAGGAACACACAATTCTCTCATATTACTGTAAATCTTAAAATTAATGTGAGAGTGAAGTTAATATGAAAAATACAAAAGGTCCTTTTCTCTCTACAATTCCAATGGGGTTGTGGGAGGTCGCATGACAGATTAACTTTAATAATATGAAAGTAACTTCTTTGGAGTAGTATATATAAATATATATATATCTTGATGAGGTCAGGGTCAGAGGGACCTTGACATTTGTAGTAATATGTTGATAAACACTTATGATCAGAGTGACCTTGACCAATAATTTCTTGGTAATATTTGGGTTGAATGACCTTGACTTTTGGTCAAGGTAATGATCAAAGTGACCTTGACCTTTATGACAGCAGTCAGTGAGGTTAAAGTGACCTCAATCTTTGTGTTGGTTTTTGGATACACAATGTGGAATGAGTGAGAAAGGCAGTCTCTGAACAAAAGAATGATTGTAAATGTTTTTATACCTCACCATGGTTATTCCTATAAGACAGTGGCAGTCCATGTTGTTTGTGTTTGGTAGAAATCTGCCATCCAATAGTTTGTTCTGATTCTTTTTTTTTTCAGTGGTGGGGCAGCCTTGTGGTTAAAGCCTTCGCTCATAACGCCAAAGACCCGGGTTCGATTCCCCACATGGGTACAATGTGTGAAGCCCATTTCTTGTGTCCCCCACCGGGATATTGCTGGAATATTGCTAAAAGTGGCGTAAAACTATACTCACTCACTCATTCACTTTTTCAGCCAACATGTACATACATGATAAGCAGCATTATCCACTGAAAAATCATCGACAAATATTGTGTGAAAGTGATGATCTTTTGAAGAGAATATCACGTTAATGTTCCATTTATTATTGGTCGGGAAACAATGGTCAAATTGTTCTCTGTCTGTATCTGAAACATCATTGCACCATTCAATACTGACATCATTCCATATTCCGACCAGTATATGCCTGCTTCGTCTCTCTTTCAGACCCCAGGGCATATATTTAATAAAACAACACCCCCTTTCCTCACCCCAATTCTCAGCTCTAGCAGCCTTTATTCATCCATTTTTGTTATAGTTCCTGAATACTCAAGAATTCCTTGTTGATTTAGCTCATTTTTACCTTATACTTAGTTTTATTATGTGGTGTAATCCCTGTCTAAATGTCACGTTCTCTCTATGTACAGCTGGGCAGGGGTGACTGAGTGGTGCTGACCGTCATGTGTAGAGTTATGGCCCTTAGTTCACAGGATCTGCTAATTGTAGGCTCTGATCCAAAATTTACCCTGATCCTTAGTCTGGCAGGTCAATACCACACTTACCAGCCATTTGGGTTTGGGCAGGGTATGATAAGATGCATTATGATAAAGTGAAATATTTTACGAATATTGTCAATGAACATTGCCAGTAATTTTTACTTATTATTGATTTCACAATCTGTCATGGTGGGTGTGGCTCCTGTAGAGATCATGTTGGTTGAAAGAAGCAATATGTTGATATGACTATGTGTAAGCCAGTAACATCATTCCTTTGTCACATAGTTTCAGCTGGACAAGTTAATAGATCGTTAGAGTTCAGGCGATTCAATATAAAAGATGATTAATTTTGTACAAGAAAACAGCTTATCATGCTGATGAATTCTAAGAAAATTTAAATTACTTATTTTAGGCCCCAGATATAAGATATTCCTATTGGCCAGAAATTGGTGATGTTTCTGCAGTACCGGTGCTCATGGATGGCCCGAGAGATAAATGGGTCACTACCTGTGTCCTTGGTGCTGTCCTCCTTGATAACCAAATAAGGATATCATAAAATTCATGGACCAAACAAATATTTTGAATTAATCGAACATCATTAATGATAGACTTTCTGATTTGGTGATAAATGCAGATGGTCCATTTTCACGAACGCTATATACCTCTCTGGCTGAAGGTGTCCGAAACCGGATGTTGATAATGCCAGAATGTTTGATGTCTCTGATGAAGGTGTCAGAGACCGGATGGTGATCATGCCAGAATGTTTGATGTCTCTGATGAAGGTGTCAGAAAGTGGATGTTGATCATGCCAGAATGTTTGATGTCTCTGATGAAGGTGTCAGAGACCGGATGGTGATCATGCCAGAATGTTTGATGTCTCTGATGAAGGTGTCAGAAACTGGATGGTGATCATGCCAGAATGTTTGATGTCTCTGATGAAGGTGTCAGAGACCGGATGGTGATCATGCCAGAATGTTTGATGTCTCTGATGAAGGTGTCAGAAACCGGATGTTGATCATGCCAGAATGTTTGATGTCTCTGATGAAGGTGTCAGAGACCGGATGTTGATCATGCCAGAATGTTTGATGTCTCTGATGATGGTGTCAGAGACCGGATGGTGATCATGCCAGAATGTTTGATGTCTCTGATGAAGGTGTCAGAAATCGGATGTTGATCATGCCAGAATGTTTGATGTCTCTGATGAAGGTGTCAGAGACCGGATGGTGATCATGCCAGAATGTTTGATGTCTCTGATGAAGGTGTCAGAAACTGGATGTTGATCATGCCAGAATGTTTGATGTCTCTGATTAAGGTGTCAGAAACCGGATGTTGATCATGCCAGAATGTTTGATGTCTCTGATGAAGGTGTCAGAAACCGGATGTTGATCATGCCAGAATGTTTGATGTCTCTGATGAAGGTGTCAGAGACCGGATGTTGATCATGCCAGAATGTTTGATGTCTCTGATGAAGGTGTCAGAAACCGGATGTTGATCATGCCAGAATGTTTGATGTCTCTGATGAAGGTGTCAGAAACCAGATGTTGATCATGCCAGAATGTTTGATGTCTCTGATGAAGGTGTCATGGGACACAGTTGTTATGTTGATATGTTTTGTGCAATATGAATGGCATTCTCATATTCTTGTTCGATGATGGTTTTGTTTTATGTCAGATTCCCAGGTGTTCTTCTTGGAAAGATGTCTGAGAAATAAGGTTTCTTGTTTGACTGGGCTGTACACTTACCGAGCCAATATTTCACAAGTGTGGAATCAAATTAAATTAAATTAAACAAAATATTTTCCCACTTATCAATAAATTTCAGTTATTAAAACTAGATTATGAATAGAAGGAACATCAATACATTGAGTGCAGTGCAAGACATGTGAAGTGCTGACTGTAAACAACAGGACAAATGAACATTCAGATTGGGCATGGGCGGATCCAGGGGGGTCCAAGGGTTCTGGACCCCCCCTTCCCCCCTTCCCACCCCCACCCCCACAGACAGACAGACAGACAGACACACACACACACACACACACACACACACACACACACACACACACACACACACACACACACACACACACACACACACACCCTTGAAAACCAATTGTAGTATGTTGTAGGCGGTAAAAGTAAAATTGACTGAGAGAGGATTTGATATTTTGGACCCCTCCCTTTTAAAAATGCTGGAATCTGCTCTTGTAGGGCATGAAGAAGTTTCTCTGGTTGGAAATTATATCCACTGTGGTTTGTTTAATGGTATTGACTCATTAGTCATTTCTAATCTTTGTATTTTATCATTGCATGAACAAGTAAACAAACAGGCCCTGCACATCTATATGTAAATTGTTCACTGCTGGTTTGCAGGACTTTGAGGTAAGGTTTTTAAAGGGGATCACGGAATAGGCCAACCCTACAGAAGAAATCGTGGAAACTATATATGTTTTTTGTCTTCCACTGAATGCGAACTTACTTTTTTACCACCTCCACATCCCCAAACCACCACCTCACACCCAAACACAAAATGTAAAACAAATCTGCCTACTTCAAGACAATATGTAACAGTAAGTTGAACAATGACACAAGCATAACAAAGTCTGCACACATGGTAATATATTAAAATTAGGGCTGGCTATTGATATAGATTATAGAAATCGATAATCACAAACTAAATATCGATCAATTATTGATAAATATCAGAGAAGAAACTTTAAGCAAATATGCAAGAAAGTCCTGAAAGAAATCAACATATTTCACGCCACTGGTAAGCAGTGACACATAAAACACAGATTACTTTGTGGACATTTGAAATATAACAAAAACAGCTGCTTTCTGTTTTCGATAGTTGACATTATTAACAATAACAAGTCTGTTTCGGTAAATCTATTAATTAAAGTAACATTTTCAAAACGAAAAAGTTAATAATCTGAAAAGATTTGTTTTGGTTTTGTTTACTCATTTACCAAGCAGTATTTTACACAAAACCTCCATAAACCAAGAAATACAACAGTCTGACCTCGTACAATGTTTATCAGTGTTGTATGATACAAGTGTTGTCAGTAATTGATGTAGCACTCCCTCCCTTGTAAACTCTATTAGTTGTGGGGCAGACATGATGTCCCTTTTGGGATGACAGGATGACTCCATTGTAACTGATGGTGTTCAATGGTCTTTAAAGCATTAGGGTACAATTACATTGTCGCAATATCTCAAAAGAGATATCGCTTTTTCTCACCCAAGCGATATCTCCTGTGGATGTCAGTATTCAAGTGTACGGTGTACAGGAATATGTTCCCTGGTGTCATGTTTGTATCTCCACTGTACACGTTGTTATGTCTTTGTTGTGATGTCCTCTTGTACAGAGTGTCTTACATTAAGAACTACCATGATGGGTTGTGAGAGGAGTACGTGAATGATGCAAGGATACTGAATACACCAGCTGAAAAATATACAACCTTAAACGATCTTATTTTGTGATAAAGATAGACTGAAATTTGAAAAAAAAGAATAATATGCTAAAATTATATTGAATATGAATTTTGTTTGCAGTTTTATTTTCAACTGTTTTGTCAACATTTTGGTCATATTTGTGAAACATTTTCAATTTTACATTCTTATTGTTTACATTTCTCTTATAATTAATGAAAAAAAAAAAAAAATTCTCTCTGAAAAATCTATAACACGAGATATTAATTGGTCTTGCTGAAAAAACAAATGTTGATGGTTCCTTGTGCAATGATTTTGAAAAAATACTGGAGCAAGTGTGAAGTTCTCATCTGTGTTATGCAGCCTATGTGATAGATATACATATATCTGTGTGAGCACACACACACACACACACACACACACACACACACACACACACACACACACAGATATACATGTACCGGGGTATATCGATCTGTTTTTATTGCATTATTTGCTATTCAGACATTGCAGGAGAATCACAATTTTTGTTTTCTGACCTGAAGGTATTTGACATTGTGTACTTACATGGGTGTGCTTTAAGAAAAAACTCAAACAACAAACTTGCTTCACTTGACTGTACATAACCTTGTACAGTGATACTTCCAAGATGCTATTTTCTTATGAAAATAATAAATTAGTACAAAAACATTGTTGCATTCAAATCTCTATTGTTCGACTGCAATGTGTGTGTTTGAGAAGAGCTTGACCAAGACAACATGTCTGCTAAGAGCGCTAATCCTAATTGGTAAAAGGCTGTTCAAATGAAGTTTACTTGAGAACTCCAGTCACTATAAACAACTTCAATCAATGTGACCTTTCTAGCCTGTCGGGGACACGGGTGGCCCAGTCGTCTAAGGTGCCACGATTTGCTGTGCTGAGTTGCGTCCCTTGGGCGCGCCAGAAACCTATGATTGTGGTCTCGAATCCCGGTTCGCCCTGATTATGTTTCTAGGTTTGTCAGCACCATACCCGTGCTCGTGGGTTTCACCGAAGTGATAAACGTCTGAGACCTGCATCACTTCGGGCTTTCCTCCCACATTAAACTGACACGTCGTCATATAACTGGAATGCTGTTAAAGGCGGCGTTAAACCCAACTCACTCACTCACTCACATTCTAGCCTGTCAGACTGCTCTTTGAACAAGGGACATGGGCGACACATTGGTCTTTTGATCCCTGTCCAGTTGCCTCCCTTAGTCCTCACAAGATCCGTTTAAAGTGTTCAAATCCCAGATTCACACTTAAAACGAGGGTTGCCTGAAACGTTCTGAGCCTGAAGGGTGAAAAGAAAAGTAAACTCTTTTAACAGTTTGCATGTATTAAGTACAAAACATTCCATGATTACAGGCTGCATTTGGACCAAATGCTGAAGACCTATTCTACCCCGGATCTTCACGGGTTTGTTTGCCTAGATAGAACACGGGAACATATGGTATAAGTCAAAGCAGGGAATTGTATCAGACATCATTTTTGTCACTGATGCGTCAAGCATAGTCACCTTTTACGGCAAGCATGGGTAGGTCTTCAGTAACCTATGCTTGCTGTAAAAGGTGACTATGCTCGTCGTAAGAGGCGACTAACGGGATCGGGTGGTCAGGCTCGCTGACTTGGTTGATGCATGTCATCGATCCCATTTGCATGGATCGATGCTCCTGATATGAATCACTGGATTGTCTGGTCCAGACTCGATTATTTACAGACCGCAGTCATATAGCTGGAATATTGCTGAGTGCGGCGTAAAACAACAAATAAAACATACCAAACCAACTGATGCGTCACATTTGGAAATGCCCTAAACATGGCTGAGGAAAGTATTGATAAAATATATGATATGGAAATGGATGATTGACGACTCTCCACACGGCAATACAGTAGGCGTCTCTCGTGAAAACATTCTCAGGAGTGAACTGGGTCTGGCAAAGGTTTCAGAAGGGTTCGGAACGCTGGGTTCAGAAGCTTCGAACTCCTGATCAGAAACACCCCAGGTTCATCATCTCTCGTGAGAAGTGACGTAGTTCTGAAATAGACCCAGATTATTCTGTTGAGCGATTTGTAACCATGGATGGATCTGGGGTTCACCACTGTCAGGCAGATACTTTAACAGCAGTGAAAGCAGTGGAAAATCTAACCTCTCTTAACTAATCAGCTGGCAAGGACAATGCACCCGCGCACAATCCTGTTGTGGCCATGGTTTCAATGCATGGCGGATGGTTTTTGAAGGAAATGAACATCCTCCGTATTCACAGATTTGGCACCGTCAGATTCCGAGTTCTTCACAAACTTGAAGATCCTACTATCTAGCAAGCATCACGCAAATGATGATGAAGTCATTTCTGCTGTTGAGGACATTTTACACCTCAAGTAGGAAGCCTTCTACACCAGTGGGGTCCAGTCACTCCAGCATCGTTGGCAGAAGTGTGTTGATCTCGTAGGGGATTATGTTGAAAAATAATAGGTGAGGTGAAATGGGGTTTAACGTCGCGTCCAAGATTATTGCACTTATATAGCGACGTGCATGTACGTGCGTGTGTTTGTGTGGCTGCTAGTACTAGTCCGGACTGATGCCGATTTATAGTGCTAGCACACTGAGATACCATGCTGCAGTTTAACATGAATACCCCACTCAGACACACCAGCCGACCAGTCCTTGTTTGAGCCCCTTAATGCCGAGCGCCAGACAGGGTAACAACAAGTACATCTTTTCACGTCTTTTGGCATGACGCGGCCGGGCATCGAACCCCGGACCTTCCGCTCTCCGGGCGGACGCTCTACCACTAGACCACGGAGGCGGTCTGAAAAACAATAAGCCACGAATTCTATAAGCGCAGTCCATCCAAGTTAGGCTCAGATTTGTTTTCAGCTGTTCATTGTCTTGTTGTCAGGCGCGAAACTACCATTGTAGCAGAAAAGCACTTGCCTACACCTGAAAAAAGCAAATTCTTTTCTAAATAAGAAAACCTCAATTTACCATCTATGCAGCAAATTATTAATTGAAACTCTACACGATCGAGCGTGATATTTATTGTCTAACTTGAAAATCGCACTTTCAGATTTTAGTGGTAGATGGTTCATGAAGTTGTGATTGTTTTTGATTACTTTAAATTGGCCTAGTTCCGCCCGGGGTGTCAGCAATATCGCCATGTTTGGGGGTTTCACAAAAGTAGAAAAAGTTTTCAACTTATGCCCCCATCACATACACCGAATAATATGACTGAACTACCTTTCAAAGCCCGGTGAAGCCACTCACACACTGTTAAATCGAACCCAGACCTTCAGCGTGCCAAACGAACAGATTAACCCCACTAGGCTACCCCGAAGTCCCAATCATTCGCTCGGCAGTATCGCAGTTATCTCCCTTAGATTAACCGTCACGCAAACTCCCAGCTTCAAAGACATATGGTTACGGCCGTTGATTACACACACACCACACATGATAACCAGTGATAACACGACAGGGGTGACAAGAGTTCTCACTGCCGTGTACCGACCGATACGACCCAGCCAGGAAGGTTAAATCTAGATGTTCCTCAAAACTAACAAACATACGTATACGAAGAAGGACCCATTGTTCATTACTTAAGGGAATTGAAAGAACTGCTGATATTCTTACAAGGTGAGCGTTATGTAATCATCTCAGCTGCTTGATACCGCTATAAGAAGTTCATGCTATAACGCGATCTGCATGTCAGATAAGACTATAACTTCTACAGCTATCGATACAGATAACGGGATACATCGTCGTCTACTGTACAGTCTTATTGCACTCTGGTCGACATCTTCGCTATAACCTTGTCTGTAAACATATTTTTTAATTCATGCTCTATGTGTACATTCATTTCTTGTTTTTATATCTGTTTTGTACATTTTTCAAACTGTGTTGTCTGAAAAGTATTTTATTTCAAAAATACTCGAGGTAAAATACAGATTCTTGTATCTTTACTGAGCATTACCGTTTATAAAGGACATTCAATGTCTTGCGTTCACTTGTTTCATAAAACAATATGTTTTTATTTTAAACTTGAGCAACTCTATTGCTTTGAATACATCTTCTATTTTGAATGCTTGGTGGAGGGTCATTATCAATATTGACTGAGAAAGGTAATCTAATAGGCAGTTGTACACATCATTCACATATTAACCACCACCTGTATGAAGGTAGTCTTATGGACAGTTGTACACATAATTGACCCACCAGCTGTATGAAGGTAGTCTAATGGACAGTTGAACACATAATTGACCCACCAGCTGTATGAAGGTAGTCTAATGGACAGTTGTACACATAATTCACACACTGACCCACCAGCTGTATGAAGTTAGTCTAATGGAGAGCTGTACACATAATTCACACACTGACCCACCAGCTGTATGAGGGTAGCCTAATGGACACTTGTACACATAATTCACACACTGACCCACCAGCTGTATGAAGGTAGTCTAATGGACAGTTGTACACATGATTCACACATTGACCCACCAGCTGTATGAAGGTAGTCTAATGGACAGTTGTACACATAATTCACACACTGACCCACCAGCTGTATGAAGGTAGTCTAATGGACAGTTGTACACATGATTCACACATTGACCCACCAGCTGTATGAAGGTAGTCTAATGGACAGTTGTACACATGATTCACACATTGACCCACCAGCTGTATGAAGGTAGTCTAATGGACAGTTGTACACATAATTCACACACCGACCCACAAGCTGTATGAAGGTAGTCTAATGGACAGCTGTACACATAATTCACACACTGACCCACCAGCTGTATAAAGGTAGTCTAATGGACAGTTGTACACATAATTCACACACTGACCCACCAGCTGTATGAAGGTAGTCTAATGGACAGTTGTACACATGATTCACACATTGACCCACCAGCTGTATGAAGGTAGTCTATTGGACAGTTATACACATAATTCACACACTGACCCACCAGCTGTATGAAGGTAGTCTAATGGACAGTTGTACACATGATTCACACATTGACCCACCAGCTGTATGAAGGTAGTCTAATGGACAGTTGTACACATGATTCACACACTGACCCACCAGCTGTATGAAGGTAGTCTAATGGACAGTTGTACACATAATTCACACACCGACCCACAAGCTGTATGAAGGTAGTCTAATGGAGAGCTGTACACATAATTCACACACTGACCCACCAGCTGTATAAAGGTAGTCTAATGGACAGTTGTACACATAATTCACACACTGACCCACCAGCTGTATGAAGGTAGTCTAATGGAGAGCTGTAGACATAATTCACACACTGACCCACCAGCTGTATAAAGGTAGTCTAATGGACAGTTGTACACATGATTCACACATTGACCCACCAGCTGTATGAAGGTAGTCTAATGGACAGTTGTACACATGATTCACACATTGACCCACCAGCTGTATGAAGGTAGTCTAATGGACAGTTGTACACATGATTCACACACTGACCCACCAGCTGTATGAAGGTAGTCTAATGGACAGTTATACACATAATTCACACACTGACCCACAAGTTGTATGAAGGTAGTCTAATGGAGAGCTGTACACATGAATCACACATTGACCCACCAGCTGTATGAAGGTAGTCTAATGGACAGTTGTACACATAATTCACACACTGACCCACCAGCTGTATGAAGGTAGTCTAATGGAGAGCTGTACACATAATTCACACACTGACCCACCAGCTGTATGAAGGTAGTCTAATGGACAGTTGTACACATGATTCACACATTGACCCACCAGCTGTATGAAGGTAGTCTAATGGACGGCTGTACACATGATTCACACATTGACCCACCAGCTGTATGAAGGTAGTCTAATGGACAGCTGTACACATAATTCACACACTGACCCGCCAGCTGTATGAAGGAAGTCTAATGGGCAGCTGTAGACATAATTCACACACTGACCAACCAGCTGTATGAAGGTAGTCTAATGGACAGCTGTACACATAAATCACACACTGACCCACCAGCTGTATGAAGGTAGTCTAATGGAGAGCTGTACACATAATTCACACACTGACCCACCAGCTGTATGAAGGTAGTCTAATGGACAGTTGTACACATGATTCACACATTGACCCACCAGCTGTATGAAGGTAGTCTAATGGACGGCTGTACACATAATTCACATATTAACCACCAGCTGTATGAAGGTAGTCTAATGGACAGTTGTACACATAATTCACACACTGACCCGCCAGCTGTATGAAGGAAGTCTAATGGGCAGCTGTAGACATAATTCACACACTGACCAACCAGCTGTATGAAGGTAGTCTAATGGAGAGCTGTACACATAGTTCACACACTGACCCACCAGCTGTATGAAGGTAGTCTAATGGAGAGCTGTACACATGATTCACACACTGACCCACCAGCTGTATGAAGGTAGTGTAATGGAGATATGTACACATAATTCACAGGTGTTTCCATGACGTGAGGACACCGCCCTTACGAGCGCCACGACTTCACCATGGAGCATCCGGGTTCTTCCCCTGGGTATTCCAGGTTTACTGACACCGGTGAGAACAGTTCGGACTCTCTGAACAAACCAGCACATCGGCAGTTACAAGAAACTGGGTCAGCCTTCGAGCCCCCAACAGACGATCAGATGTTTCATGTGAGCGATGACAACTATGGGGTATTTGAAAGTGTAAGTCGTACATTCCATCTTGTTCATGTTCATTGGAACCCATGGAGCGTTATTAATTATATATACTACTCAAAACAAGTTCAGGAACACTCCCAAATGGAAGGATGTGTGTTGCACTTAGCACCAGCCATAGCAGATTAACCATAGTCATTAGAAAAATTCGGATGTTCTTTAACGTCTTTTTAGTAGTATATGTACATATTAGTTCTCTTCCACAACGTATCTTTCCTGGTTTGTTATAATCATGCTTGTGTCTTTTGTAACAAGGTATTCCCCAGGGAAAAAAAGAGCAGAATTATTGTGTGTGAGAAATAACGGAGACCAAAGAGCCAGTACAAGATGGCTGTATTATTGCCAAGTTATATGATAGTGTAAAATCCCTCACTTGGGACAGAATTAACTCTCAACTGAGAATTCCTATGTTCGAATGCTATAGTAACAACTACACAAAAGGTTTGATTTGAGCATGATTTGAGAATTCCTAGGTTGAAATGCTATAGTAGTAACTGCGTTAAGCGACGAACATTTTGTTCTCCATCGCAAGTGAGGGATAATTCATTGTATGATTTCTAGAGCTGGATAATTTGTTAACAGTGTTACTAAACTTTTGTCTATAAGTGACAGAGCCTCGAATATGTATGTCTTGAAGTAGTGTTTATCTGAAGGTCAACCCTTAGGTCTTCACGTCTACCACTTTCCATCTTCATCTTCGTGAATAAGGGAATGTGAAAAATAAATGTGACTACTGAGATTGTATCGTGATATTTCCAGGGCCGAGACTATGAGCCTGTGTACGTTACTCACAAGTACACAGAAAAGGAGAAGGAAACTCTAGCTTCCTTCGAGAGCTTGGATTATCTCCCTTCACACAGCTTCGTGTACAAGCGATGGATCAGAAAACAAGCTATCGGCAGGTTGGTTTTTATAATGTATGAAACGCACTGAATAATTCACCTTCATTAATATGTAAAGTGTATTTGTTGATCCGTAAATGTGTCTGTTTTGGATTGTTTTGGTATTTAAAATAATTGTGTGTGTATACGCTTTTATACTTTTTCACATGAATTCTCTTCCCAAAAGATTCATTTTGTTTTCAATACGAGTAGACCAAGCACTGGAAAAAAACGACAAAATGCATTCTTTTGATGTTTTCAAAGTGCTTTGTCGTCTCAAAAAGGAAATAGGTGATAGAAAAGTGTGCGAACTCGAAAACTAGTTCGGGCATTTGGTCTTTTGGGGCGGTCGGGTAGCCTAGTGGTTAGAGCGTTCGCTCGTCACGCCGATGACCCGGGTTCCATTCCCGACATGGGTACAATGTGTGAAGCCCATTTCTGGTGTCCCCGTCGTGATATTGCTGGAATATTGCTAAAAGAGGCGTAAAACCATACTCACTCTTTTGGTCTGTAATTTCGACTTATTACATGCACCTTTCTATATTTTGAGACACATCTAAAAGGCCTTTATTTATTGGCAGGCTTTTAATTGTGAGGAAGTAAAAGCATTTTTTTTCATTTTGGCAGTGGCCTAAACGTATACGTCATTGCAATTCAATTCGAATTCCTGACATACTTCCATTTTCTTGGACACTTTGTGACATTTCCTTTCGCCACCAAACCTCGTTTCGGAATTGAATGAATTGATTAATGACACTCAGGAGAAGCTATGGTAGAGAACTGGTCCATGATATGTATCATCATAGATTGGACATATTATACACTGGAGGGTGTGGCGTTAGGCCCAGCTCCCTTCCTTGACCACTCATATATGCTTGTCTCAATCTCATTCAAAATCAGATCTTAGTTCTCCATGCCGCTAAACAAAGATCTGAGGACATCCCATTAAGGGTCACGTCAGACCGACCTTTCGCGAACTCTAACCGACCAATGGAATTACTGACAAGAAGTTGATATTAGCCAATCAGAAGGCAGCTTTCTCGTGCTTTACGGCACTCATTTCAAATTGGCGACTACGCTTCGAACCATATTTTGACAAATTCTCGCTTAAAAATATAAAACCTGAACAAAAGAACATTCTCGAATGGCTAATAGATGGTCTAGATTGTAAAGATTCAGTCGTTAAGCCCGTAACTATCGTTCGGAATACCCCGTTTTAAAGTTTTCGAGGCTGCATGATTAGAAATCACATTCCGACTGTCACTTTCATGATCTGGTAAGCGACGCTCTGATTGGTCGGATGAAAGGTCGTTCTGACGTGAACCCTAATGGGATGTCCTCAGATCTTTGTTTAGCGGTAGCGAGAACTAAGATCTTATTTTTATGAGATTGTGCTTGTCTGACCCGGCTAACTCTCGAGATCTCTCGAGATCTCTCGAGATCATTCCAATGTACATGTCCTCCATATTGGTTTGTCTGCTTCAGACAGTGTTGATTTGGATAGTTTTGACTTTGGTGTTGGCCTGTTGGTAGATTGGAGCTGGACCGCTGGCTGATGATGGGGATGATCGGCTTCAGTGTCGGCTTCATCGGCTTCCTGCTGCATCAGCTGATCGAGGTCATAGCCAAGGTCAAGTGGGACAATATACAGAAGTTCCTTGACGTGAGTTCTCAGCAGATGCTTCCCAAGTTTTGTAGCGCGAACACCCTACCATGACACAACAATAATTTAGAGAACTACCCTATTATCAAAACAATGCGCTTGTTATGGAACTATATGCACAGGGAATATTGAAGCTGGATAACCGATATCTCGTTTGTAACCAGTGCCGCTGTAATGAGACATCCAATTACTGCATTATGTGAGCCCCTTTAAGTGACTCGTGGTTTTTCAAGAGAGCGACCTCAATAGAATTATCATTGCGAACACAGTGATCGAATATATATTCCATACAGTCCACCGATATCTATCAACAATCATATACCTCAGTAGTTTTACGTAATTAATGACGTTAGTAGTTTCTGTATGTCACTCTCTGTGTACGTTATACGAGTGATATCCCGAAGAAAATTATTTGTATCGTAGTTTATGTGCGCACACACTGGGAGAGAGACGATGTCACAGGCTGTATCAATGCCCTGCTAACATCTGACCGCCTCCGTGGTCTTGTGGTAGAGCGTCCGCCCCGAGAGAGGAAGTCCCGGGGTTCGATTCCCGACCGCGTCATACCAAAGGCGTTAAAATGTGGTACTTGTTGTTACCCTGTCTGGGGCTCGGCATTAAGGGGCTAAAACAAGGACTGGTCGGCTTGAAGTCAGTATACTGTGTCTGAGCGGGGTATTCATGTTAAACTGCGGCATGGTATCTCAGTGAGCTAGCACTATAAATCGGCATCAGTCCGGACTAGTACAAGCAGCCACACCCACACACACACGTGCATGCACGTCGCTATATAAGCGCAATAATCTTGGACGCGACGTTAAACCCAATTTCACCTCACCTCACCTTCTAACATCTCAAGGGCGGTGGACCAGCCTGGTATTGTTTTGTTTGTTTGTTTGTTGTTTAACGCCGCACTCAGCAATATTCCACCTATATGACCGCTCTCTGTAAATAATCGAGTCCGGACCAGACAATCCAGAGATTGATCTCATGAGCATCGATCCACGCAATTGGGATACGATGACATGCATCAACCAAGTCAGCGAGCCTGACCACCCGATCCCGTTGGTCGCTCTTACGACAAGCAAAGTCGCATTTTACGGCAAGCTGAAGACCTATTCTACCCCGGATCTTTACGGGTCAGTCTAGTGGTTGAAGGGTTAGCTCGTCTTACCTATGATTCGGGTTCGATTCCCAACATGGGTACAAGGCCTATTTGTGCTGTCCCCCGTTGTGATATTGTTGGAATATTGTTAAACACTCACTCTCAAAACGCAGGGTATGGTATGACTGACAGTGTCCTTTCGGAATGTACTTCAGATACACAAAACAAAATACATGCAAATCTAATCTTGCCTCTGTAAAGGAAACATCAGATTTGATGACCTTGCCCCTGACCTCGTTATTATCTTCCTGAACTGCAGCAGGACCAGATGGGTATTGCGTGGGTGTTCGGCGTCGCCTACAGCGTCATCTTCATCAGCTTTAGTGCCGGCATCGTTGTGGTAACACTGACTTTCTTACCCTGCCAATACACGCAGAACAATGCATGTTGAACTCTTAACTACAGTCAGCTAGCTAGATAATACTATCGAAAAGGTAAAATCTTACCGGGTCTCGGGACAATTTGCAGTTTCAATGTATGTCCTTCGCCACTTTATTTGCCGGTTAATAATATTACGATCAGATGTCGATCAATCTCGAAACAAATGATTACACTACGTGAACAATGCCTTTGTTTCATACAATACGTTCATGAAAACGCCTAGACTTTGTCTGAAAATAACCACCTAATCTTTTAAGATGTAATGAAACAGAATTTACAGTGTAAGCTATAAATTAAAATGATTATTTGGGTTATTTTGTATACTAGTAATACATATACATGGAAAATATTAAGATGATGAGAACCAATTGATTAATATTACTGGTTACCATAATTGTGACCTCATGATATTTGGTTCATTGCCCACTCCTAGTTCTGGAGACCAAGTGCAAGTGGCTCTGGCATCCCGGAAGTGACCGGCTTTCTGAATGGGACACATGTACATCATATCTTCAACTTCCGGACAATGATTGTCAAGTTCCTTTCATGCGTGGCAGCGATTGGCTGTGGGATGCCAGTCGGCCCCGAGGGTCCAATGATCCATTTAGGGTGAGGGATATTTAACTGCCCCGCAGTTATAAATGCAGCATTCATAGTGATTGAGTATGGTTTTACGCCGCTTTTAGCAATATTCAAGCAATATCACGGCGGAAAGACCGGAAATTGGCTTCACACATTGTACCGTACCCATATGGGGAATCGAACCCGGGTCTTCGGCGTGACAAGCCAACGCTTTAACCTCTGGGCTACCCCACCGTCCCACAGCATTCATAGATATCATTAGTCAGAGACCTAGTCGCCTATCTATTAGACATTACAGAATGTTCTTTTCAAATTTTGAATGGTGAACTTAGTCAAATATTTTTCAAAGCGTGGTCTGGAATGGAGGCCGCCAGTTTGAAACTGGTGCTCGAGAATGCTGCTTCCTGATTGGCCAATGTCGACTTCTTGGTGGTCATTGGTCGATCAAAGTTCGAGAAAGTCTGACGTGACCTGTAATGGGATGTCATCCGATCTTTCTTTAGCGGTAGCCACAACTAAGATGTAATTTTAATGAGTTTGCGATCACTGCTTCAAGACACTGTTTTTTTCAAAGGCAGTTTTTTAGACCCAGCCCCGATTTCAGCTCAGGACCCCAGTGAACATGTTTGTGTGTATAAAACATGAGGCAATATTTTCCCAGTATATAAGTGAACAAATTATGTTTTCTATAAACATTTTAATATTTGTTCTTCGTTTAAAGTTTAATTCATATCATTCAAAGCCTTTAAACGCCAATTTTGTGATGTATAGCAATACCATATATCCGACAACCCCTACAACTTCGCCTGCCACAAATATATTTTTATGTTGAAGCACTATCACGTGACAACCTTTCCAAGTCATATTTTGATTCTGCACCGGATTCCAACTTGTATTCCATCTCGAGCTCCAGGGGGCGTTGCCAAAAATAGGTCACCTGATAGAATTAGAATCAGGTTTATTCTATAGATTTGTAACCTGTTTTAGAATTAGCTTTCCCTGCCTACCGGCGTTCTTTGTTTTAAAAGTGCCAGGAGAAACAAGACTATGTTTTAACTTGCTTTATACTGTACAGAGGGCTGGTCCAGGAGAAACAAGACTATGTTTTAACTTGCTTTATACTGTACAGAGGGCTGGTCCAGGAGAAACAAGACTATGTTTTAACTTGCTTTATATTGTACAGAGGGCTGGTCGGAGCTGGATTGAGCCAGGCAAGGTCAGAGACCTTCAAATTCAACGCCCCGTTCTTCAAGAGGTTCCGAAACTCCGAAGACAGGTCAGAAGAATGAGTGTGGTACTTCCTAAGTCATGACGACTTTGGCCTGAAGGCATGGAAATGTGTCTGGTACTAAATACATGCATTGCCAGGCCTATGTTTGACTATATTCAGCCGTAAATGGTTTGAACATTAGAGTCAGTGTCCAGTCTCATTAAAATCAGATCTTAATTTTGCTACCGCTAAACAAAGATCTTGGGACATCCAATTACAGGTAATGTCAAAACGACCAACTTTGACCGACCAATGAAATGACTAGCTTACAAGAGATCGACGTTTGCCAATTCAGAGAGCAGCTTTCTCGAGCTTGACGGCACTAGTTTAGCTGGCGACTGCCATTCGAGACTACTCTTTGAAAATGTTTTGACAAAGATCTCGATTCATTGAAAACTGAACAAAAGAAAAATCTGGGATGTTTGATAGATGGCGGAGATTGTATGGCAGTAGTTCTCACGGGCTATGGGGAGTTTCTTCGGTTAAAATGTGTATCCTACTGAAGCGAGAGACGATTTTGACGGAATCAGTCGAACAGCCCGTAACTGCCATTCGGAACACCCCATTTTCAACTTTGCATGATTAGAAAACACATTCCGACTGTCAGTTTTCTATCTGGTAGGCGACGGTCTGATTGGTCGGATGAAAGGACGTTCTGTTGTGATCCGTAACGGGATGTCCTCATATCGTTGTTAAGCGGTAGCGAGACCAAGATAGTTTCCCAGTCTTCGCATAGTGACATATTTTCCCGGGAACATAGTGTGACGCGCTGCATAAGGGCAACACTCATATAGACTTGTTCCAGTCTGTCTCTGCACTGCATCATCTTTATCATGCGTACTGACACAGCCTTTTTGCGCTTGTATTGGTGAATCTGTTATATATCTGGTAATACATGACCTTGCATGGGATTTGTTCTTCTTTGTTGTATAAAGAAAAATTAGAGCTGCTAAACCTTCTGTTCCCCATATCATTACTGCCTTCGTGTTCTAATTGCGTGGATCGATGCTCAAGATGTCAATCACTGGATTGTCTGGTCCAGACTCGATCATTTACAGACCGCCGTCATACAGCTGGAATACAGCTGAATGCGGCGTTCAACAACAAACAAACAAACAAAATCTTTACTGCCTGGCAAAAGAAGTATACGACTGAAACTTGGATTCGACCGGAAAATTACAAACTCTATCATAACGCTACTAGGTGGAAAACAGTCCCCGAAACATAGCAAACTTAAGGTCCAAAATACAACTATGATACCGTTTCAAATACATCACCGTCGAATAACACTTTCTTGTTTGTTTCATTTTAAGGCACCATCGGACCATTTTTGTGCCAGTGCCATACCCATACTCGTTGATTTAACTAAATAATAAACTCTTATGATCCGCATAAGTTTTGGCTTCGTGACACACAAAGCTGGCACGCCATGATATCATGGAAGCACTTGTCAAAGCGGCGTTAAACCCAACTCGCGCACGTATTCCTGTGACAAGTTATTTGAAGAAGCGTCTGTAAAATACCAGTATTTTCTCCAGCGTTCGAGAAGACTGCCTTCAACAATAATGTTGTTGACTGGAACATGTTAACCGAATTTCACACACAATACACTATTGACCAAAGGGTATAATATTTACAGCGCATGGCCGTTATTTACAGGAGAAACTTCGTATCCGCCGGAGTGGCCGCGGGGGTGTCGTCAGCGTTCGGTGCTCCAGTCGGCGGGCTGCTGTTCGCGATGGAGGAGATGGCGTCGTTCTGGACCACGGCCCTGTCCTGGCAGATCTTCTTCTGTTGTATGATCTCCACCTTCACCACCGATCTCTTCAACTCCGCCTTCGAGGGATTCAGCTACACCGGCAGCTTTGGCGAGTTCAAGCTGGAGAGATACATTCTGTTCAACGTGAGTAGCATGCCGGATTAAATAGCCGCTGAGTTTGTTGGGGCTTTAGTGACAAGCATGGTATCAATAACCTAAGAACAGGATTCACTATGCTGTACTATATCTAATAGGTAGAGAGAGCAATACAAACATGAGGAAGGCATCATTTGATGTATACCATTGTCCAATCTCTTCCATGCTATAAACCCAGCTTCAAATGTCTTTGGACCCGTGAAGATCCAGGTAAGAACAGGTCTTCAGCAACCCATGCGTGCTGTAAAAGGCGACTATGCTTGTTGTAAAAGACGACTCACGGGATTGTCTGGTCCAGACTCGATTATGTACAGGCGGCCGTCATGAAGCTGTAATATTGCTGAGTGCGGCGTTAAATAACAACCAACCAACCACCCCTATCCCATATCCGTCTTTTAAAGAAAGCTTGACCAAATTACCAAATTATTGTGATTCTTTTTTGTTGATAACGCTATCAGATACTGTAAATCGTGAAATTAATGCGTCTCCAAATGAATGCGACCGCTGACCCCTAGTCAATAATGCGACTCAGTATGAATGCGACACCCCCCTCCTCACTTACTTACTAATAATGGAGATTTTACGTGCGCTTTCCGACTTCAGCGTATTTCGCACGCGGGCCCGTCCAAGCCATTTAATGTGTTTCCGAAAAGGGGAAAAAGTTGTTTGGCAATCCAGTAGGGGTGATTTAGTGGTTGCTTATATAGAATTTTGGAAATTTTGAGATTTGGAAAAAATGCCAAGAGGGCATCAGTGTATTTATATCTAAAGAAAATGTCCTCTGTCAGGTTTACAGGAGAATCCTCACCCTCATCCAACCTTACATTAACCCAATCACACACCAAATAGTACCGCTCATTAGCACTGATTAGAGTACTTCCGCTAAAACAATACATGCGCGCTGGTTCGTGTCGGCCTTTGAGGCAGTCGCAAAGAACAATGACACCGTGTTGCGTGGGTGGCGTCTGTCTGGACTTGCAGGTGTGATCAGTGATGACTAAGTGTGTAGAACTCTTGTCTTGACCCCAGCAGTGACAATTCACAGGAGGTAATTAGTGTTTGAATGGCATTGTTTATATACTAAGTCTTGTTACAAGTGCTGCCCAATAAACAGTGATGTGGAATACATAGTTGTTTGTTTTCAGCGGATGTCTGAGATGGTATTTCTGCTATCCAAAATGTCTGATAGTTGATATAAATGCTTTGTTTAATAATGCGAGCAAAGACCACTCGCATTTAATTTCAAGATTTACAGTACGTAAAGATTTTAAATATTTAACACTATGTTACACAATATGAGCGTGGAATGTGCGAATATTTTTTAACAGATTGATAAGAGTGTTAACATAAACATCCTGATGTTCATCCCCACCGTCGTGATCGGCGTCATCGGCGGCGTCACGGGCGCCCTCTTCACCATCATCAACCTCAAGCTCACCCGCGGCCGGAAGCGACTTCTGTCTTGGATCAGCAGAAACTGGGCGCAGAAGGCTTTCAGGCTAGGGGAACCTGCCCTGATAATGGTAAACTAAAATACAGGCATAAGCGCTAGTAGTGCCATATCAAATCACCGCCTCCGTGGTCTAGTGGTAGAGCGTCCGCCCGGAGAGCGGAAGGTCCGGGGTTCGATCCCCGGCCGCGTCATACCAAAAGACGTTAAAAGATGGTACTTGTTGTTACCCTGTCTGGCGCTCGGCATTAAGGGGCTAAAACAAGGACTCAGTATACTGTGTCTGAGTGGGGTATTCATGTTAAACTGCGGCATGGTATCTCAGTGAGCTAGCACTATAAATCGGCATCAGTCCGGACTAGTACAAGCACAAACACACAAACACACATACGTACATGCATGTCGATATATAAGTGCAATAATCTTGAACGCGACGTAAAACCCCATTTCACCTCACCTCACCATATCAAATCGGCCCAGACTCGGTTTTAGCTTTTCAAGGAGAGGCTATCTGAACGACCACTGCATCGAGTTATGTGCAGTATGTTGAGAGGATCAGCAACCCTGCGGAGTCCTTCACTTCGATGAAGTCGTCTGTCCTGAAAAGTGAAACAGGAGGCTTTCTGTTTGTGGTCAGGACCAGTCACTTCCCACTCGAAACCGTCAATGTGTGATTTTGCATCAAAATGTGAATATGAAATGTAGATTATGTAATGAATTTAATGAGACTGTCCAACACATTGTCAGTGGATGCCCAGCTTTGGCACAAACACAGTATCTTAAACGACATGATGGTGTAGCTCATTTTATTGCCGTCTTCGCCATGCTTGTTGTTATGACACAGAGGTCCATCCATGGTACGCTACAGAATATGACGTCATAGAAAAAGATAAATACAAAATTCTTTGGAATAGGCCCGTTTACAGCCCCAGAAGTATCCAGACCAAGAAACTTGAACTTGTCCTTTTTCATGAATCCAATTAAATCTTTATATTATTGAATTTTCTGTCCCCTTTAACACTAATGTGATTGACAAGATTGAGGAAAAACATGCCAAATATGCAGATCTCGCTTTCGAAATGTCATGCTTGCATCCCAAGTACCAAGTTGTCCGACTCCCCATTGTTCTCGGTGACTTAGGTTTGGTATCTCCCAGTCTGTTGACTGATATTGGGAGAGTGCCCGGGTTTGCTACCAAGAATACAGCCCTTCTGACAATCTGGGTACTGCAGAAGGCTGCAGTGTTGGGGAGTCTTCACATTCTCCGAAAAGTTATTGGTGGGTTTGACTAGGCAGCGCTTCCTGGGAGAAGTCCCATTCGCTGTCTGGGCTGCGTGTAGAGGGGACAAGGGCCCCGAGCTGATGAGCCTTACCAGCCTGACTGTGCCAGGATCACCCAAACCCTCTTTGCTGCATTTTTTTATTTTAATCTAATAATAAAAATAATAATAATGGTAATAATAATGATAATAATAATTTTATTTTGATCTGTGTATAATGATAATACTAATAATAATTAGTTTCATTACATGTGTGTTTCTTGCTCAACCAAATAAGGATTAACAAAACACCAAGTGTTCTGTAATGGGTGATACAAAATCGATGATAATGTACCCTTTTTTCAGACTCGATGTCGCTGATGTACTGACACCGGTGATACAGTTGTTGTATTAACCATCATTTAACATATTCTGCTCTTCTACTTCTGTAACCATTCCAGGTGATAGTTACCACTGTGGTGGTATTTCTGCCCTCGGCGTTCGCGTGTTCTCACTACAAGTGTATGCAAGCGGAGACTGGTCCCATCGTGTAAGACTACCTGCTACTATATTTGTTTCATTGTAACATAAAACAAAAGGATTTTCGATAGTTTTACCGGTATCCGCGACCATTTAGGAACTATAACTCGTTATTTCGGTGTTTATTAATAATGATTCTGTCAAAAGATTTTTTCTGAACAAAAAAGGTTAGGGAACATTAATATTTGCGGGGAGGAACATTAATATTTGGGGGGATATTTTTATTGAAATTGTGTGCTCAGTTTTCACTACAAAAAATATCCCCAAAAGTTTTCATGATCCCTAACTTTTTTGTTTAGTATTTATCGTCTAAAATGAAATATAGAAAGAACGCAACAACAAACCCAAAGTGGTTTCGCTTAAGAGATATGATCTGTTATTATTAAATTCCAAATTTAAAACCTAACGCTTTATCGTGTTGTTTCAAATGAAATTCTACCTTGACAAGATCTTTTACAAAGAAAAGTTGGAATGTGTGATTAGTTACGACCATTGCTTTCGCTGAATATCATCAGTGTGCGTGCATTTGGACTGTCGGTTTGTCTGTTTGAAGTGGCGAAAGAGTGAGTGAGTGAGTTGGGTTTAACGCCGCTTTTAACAGTATTCCAGTTATATCACGGCGTGTCAGCTTAATGCTTAATGTGGGAGGAAAGCCCGAAGTGATGCAGGTCTCAGACGTTTACCACTTCGGTGAAACCCACGAGCACGGGTATGGTGCTGACAAACCTAGAAACATAATCGGGGCGAACCGGGATTCGAACCCACAATAATAGGTTTCTGGCGTGGCCAAGGGACGCAACTCTGCACAGCGAATCACGGCGCCTTGGACGACTGGGCCATCCGTGCCCCCAAATGGCGAAAGAGAAGTGATTAAATATACATGTACATTGATGAAGATTATCTCGCAATATCCGTTATTGGAACTAGATATCCTCTGCTTATCCATTCAGAACCGGGAAATGCCCTGAAACAAAATAACGTCAGTAGAGACATGAAGATTATAGAACCAAGAAGTGAGTGTTGTTTTACGCCGCTTTTAGCAATATTCCAACAATATCACGGCGGGGGACACCAGAAATGGTCTTCACACAATGTGCGCATGTGGGGAATCGAACCTGGGTCTTCGGCGTGACGAGCGAACGCTTTAACCACTAGGCTAAGCTGTAGTGCAGATCCTTCAACCATTGTGTAGTGTTTGTTTCGTTTCTTGTTTAACGCCACACTAAGCAATTTTCCAGCGATATGACGGCGGTCTGTAAACAATCGTGTCTGGACCAGACAATCCAGTAATTGACATCATGAACATCGATCCACGCAATTGGGATACGATGACATGCATCAACCAAGTCAGCGATCCTTGACCACCTGATCCCGTGAGTCGCCTTTTATGGCAAGCATGGGTTGCTGAAGACCTATTTTACACCGGATCTTCACGGGTCATCGTGGAGTGATCTACTTTAGCCACACTCTCGTGAATTATTGTTATGTGATTTGGCATTTCTCGCTATATATTTAATCGTTTCGATGATCAATATTTGGGGAGATTGTTATAATGTTTCAGAACAGACTGCTTCAACGATACCCGCAGTGCATTGCACGTAGAGCCGGCCGTCATGACCTACACGTGTGTCAAAGGTCACAGCTGGCAGATCAGTCAGACCACGTGGTACACAAATGGGACCTACAATGAATGTAAGTGGACAAAGACTTTTTCAATAATCAAATTGTAACTTTCAAAACACACGTTCCAGCCCATATTACCAGTGTCTACATTTAAAGAAGACAGATGGTGGGGATGTGGGAAGTTCGCAGTTGGCGAAAATACAAGTTGTGTATATATCAAAAGTTGAACATGTATTTATTTCATTTTTCCGTACGTGTCACAATTCCGTGCTGCCCTTATTCATCTGATTCTTTATTCTTCAGGGGGCACGGGTGGCTCAGTCGTCTAAGGCGCCGCGATTCGCTGTGCAGAGTTGCGTCCCTTGGCCACGCCAGAAACCTATGATTGTGGGTTCGAATCCCGGTTCGCCCCGATTATGATTCTAGGTTTGTCAGCACCATACCCGTGCTCGTGGGTTTCACCGAAGTGGTAAACGTCTGAGACCTGCATCACTTCGGGCTTTCCTCCCACATTAAGCTGACACGCCGCGATATAACTGGAATACTGTTAAAAGCGGCGTTAAACCCAACTCACTCACTCACTTTAACACATATAAATGTTCCTCTTTATAAAACATTATTGACCGTTTAATTTTGATATTTTGAGGCTTGTGGTCAAAGAGAGACTACGACGTTCTGCTTTCCAGTCTAGGACTGAGCGTTTTGAAAACAGCCTCGTGTTCAAATCCGTGTAATAAGAGTAGTAAGAGTCAGATTGACATGAATCATAAACTTCGTGTAATTTGCCTAGTCCCCCTGTAAATGTTTAGTGAGACAGGCCAAAGCCGTGTTCAAATCTTCCACATGTCGGAAATATGTGTGAAGGTCATTCGTTGTAGCCCGTACGTGATATTGCTGGTATACTGTGCGGCGTAAACCACACTGGGTAATATTTTCAGTGGCCTCCTTGTTGTTTGGTACTCTGGAGACAGCCGTGAAGCATCTGTTTTCTCGCGGGACCCACGTCCAGTTCGGCTATGCCACGCTGTTCACAGCCTTCCCCTACTTCTTCCTGGCTGTCTGCTGGTCCTCCGGCACCTCCGTGTCCTGTGGCATGCTGGTCCCCATGTTGTAAGTAGCTGGTCCCCATGTTGTAAGTAGCTGGTCCCCATGTTGTAAGTAGCTGGTCCCTATGTTGTAAATAGCTGGTCCCCATGTTGTAAGTAGCTGGTCCCCATGTTGTAAGTAGCTGGTCCCCATGTTGTAAGTAGCTGGTCCCCATGTTGTAAATAGCTGGTCCCCATGTTGTAAGTAGCTGGTCCCCATGTTGTAAGTAGCTGGTCCCCATGTTGCAAGTAGCAGGTCCTCCGGCACCTCCGTGTCCTGTGGCATGCTGGTCCCCATGTTGTAAGTAGCTGGTCCCCATGTTGTAAGTAGCTGGTCCCCATGTTGTAAGTAGCTGGTCCCCATGTTGTAAGTAGCTGGTCCCTATGTTGCAAGTAGCAGGTCCTCCGGCACCTCCGTGTCCTGTGGCATGCTGGTCCCCATGTTGTAAGTAGCTGGTCCCCATGTTGTAAGTAGCTGGTCCCCATGTTGTAAGTAGCTGGTCCCCATGTTGTAAATAGCTGGTCCCCATGTTGTAAGTAGCTGGTCCCCATGTTGTAAGTAGCTGGTCCCCATGTTGCAAGTAGCAGGTCCTCCGGCACCTCCGTGTCCTGTGGCATGCTGGTCCCCATGTTGTAAGTAGCTGGTCCCCATGTTGTAAGTAGCTGGTCCCCATGTTGTAAGTAGCTGGTCCCCATGTTGTAAGTAGCTGGTCCCTATGTTGCAAGTAGCAGGTCCTCCGGCACCTCCGTGTCCTGTGGCATGCTGGTCCCCATGTTGTAAGTAGCTGGTCCCTGTGTTGTAAGTAGCTGGTCCCTATGTTGTAAGTAGCTGGTCCCTGTGTTGTAAGTAGCTGGTCCCTGTGTTGTAAGTAGCTGGTCCCCATGTTGTAAGTAGCTGGTCCCTGTGTTGTAAGTAGCTGGTCCCTATGTTGTAAGTAGCTGGTCCCTGTGTTGTAAGTAGCTGGTCCCTGTGTTGTAAGTAGCTGGTCCCCATGTTGTAAGTAGCTGGTCCTCCGGCACCTCCGTGTCCTGTGGCATGCTGGTCCCCATGTTGTAAGTAGCTGGTCCCCATGTAAGTAGTTGGTTCTCCGGCACCTCCGTGTCCTGTGGCATGCTGGTCCCCATGTTATAAGTAGCTGGTCCCCATGTTGCAAATAACTGGTTCTCTTGTAAATAGCTGGTCCTCTGCTATAAATAGCTGGACCTCCATGTAAGTAGCTGGTCCCAATGCTGTTAGTAGCTGGTCCCAGTGTTGTAAGTAACTGGTCCTCATGATGTTAGTAGCTGGTCCCCATGTTGTAAGAAGCTGGTCCTCCGTCACCGTGCTATGGCTTGCTGGACCCTATTTTGTAATTAGATGGTTCCCTTGTTCTGAGTAGCTGGTCCCCTTGTAAATAGCTGGTCCTCTGCAGTAAATAGTTGATCCTCTGCTGTAAATAGCTGGTCCCTATGTTGTAAGTAGCTGGTCCCTATGTTATAAGTAGCTGGCCCCTATGTTGAAAGTAGCTGGTCCCTATGTTGTTAGTAGCTGGTCCCTATGTTGTAAGTAGCTGGTCCCTATGTTATAAGTAGCTGGTCCCTATGTTGTAAGTAGCTGGTCCCTATGTTATAAGTAGCTGGTCCCTATGTTGTAAGTCCTATACCTCCTTGTCCCGTGGTATGCTGCTAAATCGTGATGTATTTGCAGGTTAATCGGCTCCCTGTATGGCCGCATTGTCGGCATGATTCTGGTGTCCATGTTTGGAGTCCACACCGAGACGAGCGGCTACTGGTCGTGGATGGACCCCGGGGCCTTCGCCCTCATCGGAGCGGCCTCCTTCTTTGGGGGCGTGTCCAGACTTACCCTAGCTGTCACTGTCATCATGGTGAGTGTCCAGTGTTAGGTCAAAATGAGTGAGTATGGTTTTACGCCGGTTTTAGCAATTTTCCAGCAATATCACAGCGGGAGACACCACAAATTGGCTTCACACATTGTACCCATGTGGGGAATCGAACCCGAGTCTTTGGAGTCACGAGCGAACGCTTTAACCACAAGGCTACCCCACCGCTCCAGGTCAAAATGAACATACATGATAATGAATCGTGGTGTCATACACCACACGTGCGGCATTAAACGGACATGTATAAGTAATATCATGCTGTCCCTAAGGAAACGTTAGCATGAAGAATAGTTACCTTTGGAAAGTTACCACTAAAGGAATAAAAAGTTACAGCTACCGCTGTGACCACTAACTACAAAACCGCCTCCGTGGTCTAGTGGTAGAGCGTCCGCCCGGGGAGCGGAAGGTCCGGGGTTAGATCCCCGACCGCGTCATAGACGTCAAAAGACGTTAAAAGATGGTACCCTGTCTGGCGCTCGGCATTAAGGGGCTAAAACAAGGACTGGTCGGCTCGGAGTCAGTATACTGTGTCTGAGTGGGGTATTCATGTTAAACTGCGGCATGATATCTCAGTGAGCTAGCACTATAAATCGGCATCAGTCCGGACTAGTACAAGCAGCCACACAAACACATACACACGTACATGCACGTCGCTATATAAGTGCAATAATCTTGGACGCGACGTTAAACCCCTTTCATCTCACCTCACCTCACTAACTGCAAATAGATTTAAAAAACAGCTACCGCCAGAATACGGTTACCTTTGAAAGAAAGTTATCATTGATGAGCAGTTACATGTGAAGTTATCGTTAAAGAATAAACTGCCATGCAGAAAATACTCCCTTGTTTGATGGTGGCTAAAAATGAAACAAACATGAAATGTTATTCGATGGTGATGTACATTAAATGGTAGAGGTATCATAGCTGTGTTTTGGACCTACAGTTTGCAGTGTTGCGGCGAGTGTTTTCAGCCAAGTAACGTTTTTATGTTTGTTGTGGTTTGGTCAAATTTAATTTTCAAGTGCATACAGTAAACTACGGTTATAACGAACACGCTTATAACGAACTGACGGTTATAACGAACTTACTTTTTTGGTCCCGACTATTTGCTGTAGTTATGCTGTATATTGGCTTATAACGAACTACGGTTATAACGAACTAAAATTAGTAGTCCCTTTGAGTTCGTTATAACCGTAGTTTACTGTACTTTCTTATCCCGGGAGTTTACTGGTACTATTGGAGCACAATAACCGTTAAAATACAGCTGTAAAAACAAATTTTCCATTATCATACGAAATCTCTGCCTATCGTGTGATTCCGACTATATCATAAGCATGTGTTCACGGCCCACTGTCAAACAGTGATGGCACCACGTGTTCGCGAAAAAGTGAGCGAATCCTGCCCCACCGGTGGCATCCGTCACAAACACATGCGAAGGCAAATCAATTGTGCACCTGAAAAAAGCAGGGTACAGTTGTACGGTTTTCCTCTACGATGGGTTTGTGTTTTCAGATGGAGCTGACGAACGATGTGCAGGTTCTACTCCCGGTGATGGTGGCGGTGATGGTATCCAAGTGGGTGGGGGACTACTTCACTCATCCCATCTTCCACGCACAGCTGGAGCTCAAGTGTATCCCATTCCTTGACACAGAGCCAAAAATAATGAACAATGGAAAAATGCGAGTATTTCTATGTCGTTTTCTCACCATTGCCGTCTTTGAGATGCATCAAACTGTGTACCCGCGTGTCGTCCCAGATGTTAAATAATATGGTTAGAATTGGTCTGCGGCAATATGCTTGTCGTAAGAGGCGACTAGTCGGATCAGGTGGTCAGGCTCGCTGACTTGATTGATGCATGTCATCGTATCCCAATTGCACAGATCGATGCTTATGGTGTCAATCACTGGATTGTCTGATCCGGACTCGATTATTTACAGACCGCCGTCATATAGCTGGAATATTGCTGAGTGCGGCGTTAAGCAACAAACAAACATAATATGGTCTAAAGAGAAAGATCAAGAGATATTCCCCTCGTGACTAACTTTAGGTTGTGTCATGTTTCCAGACTTCAGCTGGACCTGTTCTATGCCAAGGATATTATGTCCACGCCAGTTGTGAGAGTGCATCAAGTAGAGTCGGTTTTCGTAATAGCAGACCTGCTACTGACGACCACTCACGGGGGATACCCTGTGGTCAAGATGGACAGGCACGGACAGGAGATCTTCTATGGCTTAATTACAAGGTCAATGTGTTTTCAAATCGTTGTAGGCCCACTGCTAAAAAATATCTTCTTCGAAAGACCGTTTAACTTCTTAGAATCTTGAATACAATATGGGGGGTACCCTGACTATGTGTTTGATGGGCACAGATGAGTCAGTGTTCTAAGGATCCGCAAATTGTTGTGCAGAGTTGCATCCCTTATCTGTCAGGATCCGCTGATCTCTGGGTCTGAACAGAACATTATGATCCTTGGTTTGTCAGCGGAAAACACCTGCATGGGCTTTCCTCACAGATTAAGGTGACAGGCTGCGACAAATGGCATATTGCTCAACGCGGCGTAAACTCACTGGACCCGTGAAGATCCGGGGTAGAATAGGTCTCCAGCAACCCATGCTTGCCGTAAAAGGCGACTATGCTTGTCGTAAGAGGCGACTAACGGGATCGGGTGGTCAGGCTCGCTGACTTAGTCAATGCATGTCATCTTATCCCATTTGCGTGGATCGATGCTCATAATGTCAATCACTGGCTAGTCTTGTCTAGACTCGGATTATTTACAGACCGCCATCATATAGCTCGAATATCACTGAGTGTGGCGTTAAACAAATTACCAAAATATTGTGATTCTTATTGGTTGATGACACTATCAGATATGTAGACATTTTAAATATTTAACACTATGTTTAACACTACGAACGTGGAATATGCGGATATTTTTTAACAGATTGATAAGAGTGTTAACATAAACATCCTGATGTTCATTCCCACCGTCGTGATCAGCGTCATCGGCGGCCTCGATTATTTACAGACCGCGGTCATATAGATGGTATATTACTGAGTGCGGCGTTACACAACAAACAAACAAAACAAACTGTACGTGTTTGGCAGGCTGGAGCTGATCGTGCTGCTGATGCATGAAGAGATGTTCCAGGGAAATGATGAAGCTGAGCCACACGAAGAGGTCAAACTTGTAAACTATGAAAAGGTGAGACCGTGCCATTACTGATCAGCATTCGTATTTGAGAAAACAGTACCCATTGTCAATGCAGGCGGTGGGGTAGCCTAGTGGTTAGAGAGTTAGCTCGTCAAGCCGACGGACTTGGTTCGACTGCCAAATAAAAATACAACACGAATCTCTCTGCTACAGAAGTTGCTATCTGTACTATGTACACCCATAACACTGGTAATAACTGTTTACAAATAAACAAGTTGGAAGAATGATTTTTGATTATAAATAGAATCGGGGCGGTCGGGTAGCCTAGTGGTTAAAGCGTTCGCTCGTCACGCCGAAGACCCGGGTTCGATTACCGACACGGCGTAAAACCATACTCACTCACTCACTCAGACACTATCTCACCTTTGTGTCTTTTGATATAAAATATATCAAAGCTTTAAACTATTATCGAGTCGTGTGAGATTCTGTATACAGTGTCTATTCTTGGTGTTCCCAGGGGCGGTCGGGTAGCCCAGTGGTTAAAGCGTTCGCTCGTCACGCCGAAGACCCGGGTTCGATTCCCGACATGGGTACAATGTGTGAAGCCCATTGCTGGTGTCCCCGGCCGTGATATTGCTGGAATATTGCTAAAAGCGGCGTAAAACAATACTCACTCACTCTTGGTGTTCCCAGCTGATGCTCGAGAAGTTGTCCAACCCTAAAGTGACCTTCGACACCCTACAGAAGTACATAAACGAAGAGGACTACAAGCAGCGCTATATCAACCTGGTAACTACCACTGCATTCGGCGACAGTGCACCTTTCGACTTACAGATCGACCAACCAGGGTCAAAAAACACAATCAGAAATAAAAAGAATTTAAATTTATTTCAACATACCCAACCACTTTATCCTTGACTGATTAGAAAACATATATAGATACAACTGTAAAATATATTCACACAAAACCAAAATATTTGTTAAGTTTATAAAAATAATTGATAATTAGTCAATTCTTTTGGTTGTAATCTCTGGCCACCGTAAACCTCTCACGGGGAGAACAAAGCCTTGTCAGAAATACATACATATATTATGTAAACATAGAACTAAATGTCCAACACATATCGAAACATTAGTAACATATGTCTTCCCCAATAAGTCAACTAGACAACGTCAAATGAAATGAGAAACAGTCCAGCAAAATAAATGTAACTTGACAGGCAAAACTAAGTGCCGAGTTTGTTTTTGGAGTGATTGAAATTTGAAAGAACCGTTGTTAAATTTGATTTTTTATATGTAACTTTCACTTATTCCTGTAAAACGTAATCTGTAACTGGGAAATTTTGTGTAAAAATAAATTGGTTCAATAAAGTCTGTGGTAAGAAATGAATTTACAACCATATGATCCCTACCATGTTTGAGAGGTTGTGAATTTGATAAGATGTCTAAGATACCCATAAACAGTATACCAACATTTTTTTTAATTTTTAGAAATTTTAAAGAAAATTATATATAGAGTGCTGACAAAGCGCTAGTATAGATCATGTTGTATATAATATCGCTAACTTAAGAAGTTTTCAATTGAAAATCAAACATAAAGAGAAATAACTGGGAGGTAAAGTTTTTGTGTACGGTGGCCCATAAGGGACATGGAGTCTGTTTTTCAATATTTTGATATTTCACTTACTGTTATCGTAACCTTTTGCAAATTAAGACGATTTGTCATACAAATATGTGATAAGTCATGTATAAAAACTTTATAAATCTTTATAAGTTTTACGAACGCTAAACCACTAATTGCAGACAATTATGTAAATATTGAACGTCAAGGCCAGAGAATAACCAGTCTCGATTATCTGCCGAAACAGATTCCATTGAGCGTAAAAGGCAAAATAGCGGTGAAAGATAAGTAAATGGAGCCCTGAAAATCAGTGGTGACACCGGGTGTTCGCGAAAGTAAAAACCTTTTTCTGCTGACAGAGTCCGTACATCAACCAGTCATCCTTCACAGTGCCGGAGAAGTTCTCCCTTCATCGTACATACATCGTACTGCGCACACTCGGCATGCGCCACCTGGTGGTGACAGACGACGAGAACAGGGTGGTTGGCTTCATCACACGCAAAGACTTGATGGGTTTTAACATCGAAGAGAAATTGAACTCAGTGATGGAGAATCAGATTGAGACGCAGCACAGGCGAGAAACACTTTGTAGTGTATCGTCCTTACCCTCTTGATATTTGTATTACTTTATTTTAACTGATATTTCTCCTCTGGGTATGGGAAAACACCATGTCCAGGCAATGATGCACGTGCGCAATGAAACCTCGTTGATCCATACAGTAGCGTTGAAATCATCCGGCTTAACAAGTTTTCGGATTGCCTAGTCATGGGTACTGGGTAATGTCACCTTGTATGCGTGCAAGCGCTTCCCGCAGGAATAGTCCGGGTTGTTTCCAGATTAACGGTGTCTAGATTAGCGAGGTTTCACTGTATATGTAAAGACAGCGGACATTAATCCGTATTTTGATTCAGACGATTTCATTGGAATAACACTGTCCGGATTAACGGGGTGTTATTTTATCAGTGTTCGAGCCGACTATAGCAGGTTTTAATTATTTTGAGGAACCCACAAACATCGGGCCCGATTTTGAATGGTACTTTTTAATATTTTAAAAAGAACGTAAAGCACTTTTATTGCATCATGATTCAACGTTTTTACAACACTGCACACTACCACGTGGACAGGCGTTTTAGGGGATGTTTTGTTTCCATGTTAAAAGTAAGTATTAAAAAAAGTAAAAAGTAAATTGATCAATTGAGATTAAGAACAGTTTGGATGCAACAAGTGACTTGATATACTTCAGTAATTTGTAGCGAAATTACAAATATTTTCCGAATAAAATAAAATGACAGTTATTTCCAGTTACATTGCATCTGTATGTAATACGTTTATATCTATAACGAACTGCAATCCTTCTGATCCATGGCACATTCATTGAACTTTATTTACACTCGGTGTCCGGGACGCCAACATCGGCATTACAGGGTGAAATTAATAAGAGTTACCTCCCTTTGTCCGATGCTGTACAAGCTCCTTCCCAGGGCCTTAACATCTTACCCTCACGGTATCATCGAGATAGTATATAGAGAGCTCCTAGAACGGGCTATCGCTGTGGGGAGCTTGGATGTTGGATTCACAAAACTATAATTAAAAAAAATACGAACAGAGGAACCGAGGTAACTGTTTGTGTGTTCACGACATAATACCGAAGTATAACAACACTCACCTACTTCATGGAAGTCAATCCAGTTTTCTTACTCTGTGACACTGTATATAGGCTGAAGGTCTTAAGTTCAATAAACAAATTTTGGCTTGACATCGAATAGTTTTTATTCTTACGATAGCCCTGTTAATTTTCTTGTCTTCGAAGGGTGACGAGTAGTTCAGTGTACCTTGTCCTACATGTAAGTCCCGCTACCTCTCCTACCAGGTCCCACTTGCAAAAAGCGATCTTAGCGCTAAGATGAACGTCACTCCCATACTTTAACATAGGCTTAAAGGGGCACTGATCTAAAGCAATTCCCCGGGGCTGGTTGTTGCCTTTGTTATTGTTTTCCCCCGTGAGTACCCGGATGATATAGCAGAACCCTAGACAAGTTCGCGGCCTGTGCTGCGCAATTCGTAAGCGCATTTGTCACTTTTATTGATAGTATAAGGGCGTATGGTCACATTTATCGACAAAATGAAATACAGTTTGGGAAATAATATGGAAATGTAGGTATCTTTGTGGGTAACATCGGTAATGGTGACGAACTTTTGATAAGTCACTTGCTTAGTAAATGTGCGATTTTCGTTTACACTATTTTGACTTGCAACACAAAGTAAATATTTCTCCTGAGCATTGCTTATTTCATCGTGTTTATATTTTTTACAGTCAAAATGTGCAAAAATTTCACTTAGGAAATATATTTAAAGCCTGAATATTCAGTTAATTTAAAAATATGTCCATCTGTATTATTATGATAACGAATTCCAAACATTTTTATGTTTAATATCATCACCAAGAGACTGAAAATGTTACGATGAAAAGTACATTTCTATATTGTTTGGCTTCTAATCCTACATAATAATCTATTGTGATGTTTATAAGCCCTTTTGATCGTCTTAATCAGTTTTAGTCAATCTGTTAAAGAAATGGACAGATTTTTAAGTCAAATGACTGAAATATTTACACATTTCATAAACTGCCTGAGAGAATCACATTTTACAAGTTGACTGTAATATATACACGCTTAAAAGGAAAAGACTTGTGAAAACAACGTCTATCGCGCATCGAAGAATTTCCCAACCTAGACGTAGAGGAACAGGAATGAATCTGTCCAATGCTACAGCAAATGAAGGGAAAAAAAATGCAAATGTCATAATTAAAACCTACCAAATGTATGTGTATAATATTAGGCAGCTTCCTTGTTCGAGGAATGTATCTGTGAATATCCACACAAAGAAACAATATCCCACACCTCTGCAGCTGTACAAAGAAGCTTATTCGATGTCATGTGTCTCTGTAACAATCAAATATTTAAAAAAATATATATCGTTTCGGGATATTATAACCCGTGTTCGTGGGTCCTACTATTTAACGTCCGAGGACGCCCGGGAACGTCCGGGAGGTTTAATCAGACCACCGGAAACGTCCGGGAGGTTTTATCAGACCACCGGAAACGTCCGGGAGGTTTCAACAGACCACCGGAAACGTCCGGAAGGTTTCATCAGACGTCCGGGAGTTTAAAAATACATATAATAAAAACCTTTGGGTGAAACGTAAATAGCGTGTGTATATTTTGGTGTAATATACATCTAATAAACGGCAGAACAAGTGTTGTTTATTTATAGAAAACACTTCAGTTACTGTATTATAAAAAGAGTTCTTCACACTTAGTCATCAACTTAATCCAAAAATCTCTAAATAAAATACAACAATGGGCAGACAAATGGGGCTTCTCCCTTAACTCAGATAAAACAACAGGAGTAGTATTCAAACATAAAAACATGAAACCCGCCTACCCAATCCTCCAGCTAAACAACCAAACAATCAAATTCCAAAAACAAACCATTTTCTTAGGACTCACATTCGATCAACACCTCACCTGGGAGGCTTACGTCCAAAACCTAAAAACTAGATGCAGCAAAGACCTTAACACACTAAGATGTCTCACCGGCTCTAACTTGGGAGCCTTCAAAGATACCCTCCACTCACTCTATACAGCACTAATTAGATCAAAACTAGACTACGGCTGTGCCATATACAATACCCTAAACAACTCTCTATCTAAAAAACTTGACTCAATACAATACCAAGCACACGCACCCAACATGGCACCTCCTACACCTCACTACAGGGGAAATGCCACTAAATCTAGGCAGGGAACATCTAAGCCTTAATTTCTGGGCCGCGTCCCAAACAAACCCTCTCATCGAAAACTTAATTAACCAAAACATTAGCCCAAGAAACCAAACTGTAGCTCGCAAACACCCCTTACTCACCCCAATATCCCAAAGAATAACCAACTACCTCAATAAACACCAAACTCAAAATCTTAAACAAAACTGCAAAAAATCAAATATCTTCACCCCTAAACTCAAAATACCCAATATAGACACAACGCTAGCTTACCAAATAAATAAACAAACCGACCCAAACATAGCTAAAACCACCACACTTGCATATATACACGAAAATTGGCCAAATTGGTGTCACATATACACGGACGGATCTTCAGACCCGATCTCCAACCACACAGGCTTCGGATTCCATACCACACAACCAGTTAAATCTACACAATCTTACCGACTCCCTAACAACCAATCTATATTCACGGCCGAACTTATGGGCATGGCCTCAGCCCTGCATAACCAACAATCTAAAAACAACAATAAAATCCTAATTCTCACCGACTCCCTTAGTGGACTACAAGCCCTACAAAACAAAAATACCCCAAACCGACCTAAATTAATAAACCAAATACTTAAAAGCTCCAACGACCTAACAAAAGCAGGCAAACAAATAACCTTCTTGTGGATCCCCGCCAACGTAGGAATTTACGGCAACGAAAGCGCCGATAAAGCAGCTAAATTATTTCTCAAAATCAGAAATAAGCCTAAACCTACCCATCTCAAAATCAGAAATTAAAAGTGAAAACAAACCCAAAATGACCAAAAAATGGCATAAGCAATATCAAAACTCAAATAGCCAAATCAAAAAAGTACCTAGAAAATCACTAGCCAAACCAAAATCCTAGAACCCCCCCCCCCCAAAAAAAAAAATTGACAGATTAATTACAAAACTCCAAACAGGACACACGAACCTAAACAACCACCTAAAAAAACTTAAAAGACACACCACAGGAAACTGCCCCCACTGCAAACAACCAGAAACCACAGAACACGCACTCATCCACTGCACCCACTACCAAACACACAGAACCACACTACAAACCACCCTCAATCTAAATAAGGCTCCTACTCTAGATGAAATACTAAACCCTCAAAATAAACTAGAAATCTTCAAGGCCCTAGGCGTATTCCTAATCAAAACAGATCTAATTAAGCGCATCTAAAAACTCATAAATCTACCAATCCAAAATCCAATAAACATACAAACACCCACCTCACCCTTAGTTCCCTCCTCCACCCACTTCGGCATTTATTCAAAATTTAAAAATTCCAAAAATTCAATATAAGCAACCCCTAAAAGCCCCCTCTTGGATTGCACACACCACTTTCATCCTTTTCGCAATACACTAAATGGCCCGGCCAGGCCCGTGTGCGAAATACGCTACAGTCGGAAAGCGCACGTTAAATCTCCTATATCAGTCAGTCAGTTAGTCATCACTGATCACACCTGCAAGTCCAGACAGACGCTACCCACGCAACACGGTGTCTTCGTTCTTTGCGACTGCGTCAAAGGCCGACAAGAGCCAGCGCGCATGTATTGTTTTAGCGGAAGTACTCTAATCAGTGCTAATGAGCGGTGCTATTAGGTGTGTGATTGGATTAATGTAAGGTTGGATGAGGGTAAGAATTCTCCTGTAAACCTAAAAAGAGGACTTCTATGGAATCTATGGCTAAAAACAGACTACAACATTTACTAACTCAAAATAACATCATAAACCCAGACCAAAGCGGTTTCACTCCTGGCCGCTCAACCTTAGATAACCTCGCTCGATTAGAGCAGGACATTAAGACATGACAACTCAACAAACAATATACAACAGGCATCTTCTTAGACTTTTCCAAAGCTTTCGACATGGTATGGCACGACGGGCTAATACACAAACTACAAAAAATAGGACTCAAAGGTCAAATAATAAACTACATCCAGGACTTCCTAAACAATCGTAAAATAACCGTGGGTATAGACCAATCGCTATCGGACAAATGTCCCCTAGAAAATGGCACTCCCCAGGGCAGTATCCTCAGCCCCACACTCTTCAATATAATGATAAATGATATATTCGAGGGCCTATCCCCTAAAATATACACATATAAATTTGCGGATGATGGAGCCTTCTGGAACCGCTTTAAAAGCATTAAAATGGCCCCAAATCTACTTTAAAAATCTCTAAACAAAATACAACAATGGGCTGACAAATGGGGCTTCTCCCTTAACCCGGAAAAAACAACAGGAATAGTATTTAAACACAAAAACATGAAACCCGCCTACCCAAACCTCCAGCTAAACAACAAACCAATCCAATTCCTAAAACAAACCAAATTCTTAGGACTAATTTTCGATGAACATCTCTCCTGTGACGGTCACATAAACAACCTAATAACCAAATATAGCAAATATCTAAATACGCTAAGATGCCTAACTGGCTCAAACTGGGGGGCCTCCAAAGACACCCTCCTCTCACTCTATATATCACTAATCAGATCTAAACTAGACTACGGCTGTGCCATATACGACACCCTAAACAAATCCCTCAGCAAAAAACTAGACTCAATCCAATATCAGGCTCTAAAACTAATAACACGAACTCAACATGGCACCTTCTACACTTCACTCCAGGCCTTAACAGGAGAAATGCCACTAAATCTACGTAGGGAACAATTAACCCTAAAGTTCTGGGCCGCGTCTCAATCAAACCCCCTAATCCAAAACCTAACAAACAAAAATATCAGCCCAAAAAACCAAGCCCTAGCTCGAAAACACCCTCTACTTACTCCAATATCCCAAAGAATAACCAACTACTTAAATGAACACCAAATAAACAATCTTAAACAAAACTGTAAACAATCAAACATCTTCACCCCAAAACTTAAAACACCCATAATAGGAGCTAGCACAATAATTAAACAAACCGACCCAAACAT